TGTATAAAAACCAGGAAGGTCAGTCCTTGTGACTTCCTCATTAGCCTATAAAACAGAGAGAGAGAGTGAGTACATGGAGTGCATGTACATTTAGTGAAAATAATTCAATTTCTTTTATCTCCATTGCAGAGTTCCACATTTCAGTGAAACGATTCAGGTCAAATGCTTTGGCGAAGGGAGCAGAAGCAAAGCCCCACCGGGGACTTGAACCAGCAGCGTTTTAGTCACAAATGCACTTCCGTTGCCACCTGCTGTCTCCCAAATTTGTCGCACTGGAAGCTGCCATCCTGTCCTGAAGGCACCGAGCTCCCAGTGAGGAGATAGCTTCACAGAGCAGACACATACTGTATACAGTGGGAGCCCATCCCACCTCCTGGTCTGTTGCATAATAAGGCCTTCTTTTCCCTCAGCAGTAGCTAATGAGGATCACCTTCTTCACCTCAATAATGGGCAGGTGTCTGTTCTATCACTCTTAATTTCATGTGCTCTGCTGTGGCTCAGTGTGTATGGAAGTGGACAAGGAATCTGTACTGTCACGGATGTTTTTATCAGTCTTGCCACTGTTTTTCATGACCCATGAAGCTAGTAGAGTTATATTCACAAAACACGAGGTTTAGGAACATCAGTATGCCCAAAGAGTGACTAGAAAAGACACTGGCTGTTTTTTTCTGTAAGGTCTCCACTATTACTGAGTCATTTTCAATGTGGTATCAAATCCCCCCACTGTCTCAAAGACAGGGTGCATAGTTGTCTGAAAAGCTGTCTATCCAGCACCTTGCTTTCTCTACACCTGGGTTCCCCAATTCCAGTCCTGGAGGGCCAGTCTGCAATAAAGTTTGCAGATTTCCTTTCATAAAAACACCCACTAAACCTGTTAATAAGATTTGTTTGAGCAAATTGTGTTGCAGACTAGCCCTCTGTGACCGGAATTGGGAAACCCTGCTCTACACACTGCTGGAGTGGCTGCTGGGACAGCTTGCCTCCCTGCTGATAGGGGCAGCCAGAAGTCAGCTTTGTAGGAGGTATTAATGCAGCTAACTAGTAATGAGCCGTAGCCAACGCCAGCTCGGACCCAAACCGCATTCAGACATTTTTGCATGATAAGCTTCTTGGAAACAGTCGCATCTTTGTGACTCAAACATAAAATATGGTCAGAAATCTTTAAGGGTTATTTCCTGCACTTTTTTGTCTGTCCTGTGGATTTTTCTCCTCTACACAAATTTCCTTCCATGGTTACTTGACTTGCTGCAATTACGCTCTTCTGTGTCAGCTACTGTGATATCAATCGATGCAAACTAATGTGAAACCTTTTGTAAAGGAGAGATACTGTCGTTGAAGATGGCAAGACCGGCTGGCAAATAAATGTGAGACATTTGATGGATCTAAACCAGGCGCGTCGATCTTAAGCTGCCTTCCTGACTCCGAGTGTGGCCTGCCTGTCAGCGTAGCTCCAGAGCACTAGACCGCAGTGCACTGCTATTTAGTTAAGTGCAGAGCAGAGTCCTTTTGTGTCTGCAGCTGCAGACTGGGCTGTCATGCGTTATAAAGCGATGGCTCACCGAGGCCGGTGCCGATCCCGACAGATTTATGAGTGTTTACAGCCGCATTGTGTGAATGACTGTAGCCCGGCCCCCTTTCTCCACCCCATTTGCCTGTCTCCCTTCCCTCGCTTCCTTCCTCTTTATCTAGCTGACAGAGGGAAAGTCTGTTGAAAGGAATCCTGCCTCTCCACTTCCTGTCTGCCCCCCCCTACCCCATAGTGGGGAGAGGGATCAGAGATCAAAGGCACTCCTGCACACACTGTCCTGATTGAGAGCAGGTGCAGGGAGCGACCGGCCTGCGGCTGGCCAGGTCAGACCCTACGTCCACCTCCAGATTTTGCAGGGCGCTCCACTCCTGTGCAAACACAGTGTCAGTGGTAATGGCTGGAGCAGAGGTGGTATCGCTGTGTGGAAGCGTTTTAAAGAGCTCTGCAATGCTATAAAATACGGCTGTGCCTAGACCTCCCACATAGCAGAGACACCGTGACAGGAATAAAGGAGCCATCCACGGGCAAATACAACCCCCACCCCCCACTGACAGACATGCGTGTTCAGGCGCTGTGTAACCAGGACATTCCATTTGTTTTTTTGGGAGACAGCTGTTATCTTCCATGAAGTTTGTGGCAGATGAGGTGTGTGAGAGCATGAGTAATTGAGCGTGTGGCTGGCCAGGCTTGGGTCAGTGTAAATGCTTGTGTGTGCACTGAAGTCGGACTCAAACAGAAGGGCCCCATTGACACCTCATTTAACAGAACAGCCACGATCAGCCTTTTGGAGTAATTACTGTGTGTGTGAACATGTGACTCAGCAGCGTGACAGGGTGGAGTCCCCCAGCGTTCAAAGCGCCTGGCTGGCTATGTGTTAGGGGGCTGGGATAGCTAGGCTCTCTGCATTGTAACTGCCAAATCTGTCTAAATTGCTACATTTCAGTAGACACAAAGTTCTCCTTTCACCCTGTACATCCAGTTGAAACCTTGCAATTGTTTCTTCTATATTATCTACCCAGAGGAAGAAAAAAAAGAAAACACAATACTCCAAACAGCTTCTGCGGAGATTATCCAACATCACCGGCCACATGCCGGTCACCATATTGAATTTCCTCCCAGCATGGGGACAGTTTATGTGAGCTGGCCAGGACAAAAGCATCAATGCTGCGCTCTTCCAAAAGGACGCGAGTCACACCCTGATCACACCACATATCATCATAATGGTAAAAGAAAGCTGGTGTCTCTAATGGCCAGAGAGACAGCTAAAGACCACTCCAGACAGAAACAAGTCATAATGAAGCCTGGGTGTCATCCTTTTGATCACAACCCTCCTTGAATAGTCCAACGAAAGATAAAATAACCTACTCTGTCTGTGGCAATGGAGTAAATTAGTCACTGTCAGATCTTGTTTGACAGCTCAATTTCTTGGTTCAAGGGAAAGGTCATGGAATGTCATTTATCTGCATACATTTTGCGTGTGTGATGTGTAAATGCAGGACGTGTTGGAAGGAGCAGTCGGACATTTTCCAGCAAAGAGAACTTCACACTTACAGCTGGGTTGTCCAGATGTGCCCAGCTGCAGCAGCAATTGCAGAATGAGCCCTAGTAGAACATCAACACTAGAGACAACTGTTAGCGTGGTTGGACTTGTAGGAGTCCGCCTCTGAACACCCATTTCCCAGAATGCCCACCCACAGGCAAATCCAATGGTTTGCAGAGACGACTGGCCCTTGGGGCGTCGCGGCCAGTCAGAACCACCATCGGCTGGGGGTGCACGCCCAGTGGAATGCATGGAATGCGCTGAGCCGGAGCCTGGATGACCTTCCCCGCTGACCCCCCAGGAGAAGTTCCAATCAGGCCCTTGCCTGCTCCAAGATGTGCAGCTCCCCAGAGGGGGAGACGTCTAAAGTGGGAACCAGCAGCGCATTGTGGAATTGTCTAACTTTTTCCAGTATAAAAATGTTTACATTTAAAACATAATGTGGGAAGATAACAGAGCACAGAGTCTCATGCACAGTGTTCCTCACTGATACTGCTGTAGTTTCAAATAGGGGGCCTTCTGTTGGTCATCACAAAGACTTAGTAAGATACTTACCCATGTCACAAAAATAAGAAAACAAACAGCTCCGTCAAGTAGGTCTTTACTTGCGTGGCCACCCAAACAGAACGCTGGTGTCCTGAAGCAGCAGGTCAGAGGATGACCGGTGGCCTCTCAGCCTTACCCACAAAAGACACAGGCTGCTTTTTAAGGGATGTCACCTGTTGCAGACCTTCCTGTCTCTCAGCAGTCTGCCACCCAAGGGATACCCCCATCAGATCCCACCTACTCACTGATCAACAGCACTGGGAATACAGCCTGGGGGGGGGGCACGTGCCGGTGAGAGTATGAGGGCAACTTGTCGTTTTTCCCTGAAGGAGCCTAATGTTTGAATTTGTGGTGGGGACCAGTTTAGTAGCCTGTCTATGATGAAAGATACCGTGTAAAGCAGACTGTTCACTCTTTACGCTCATACTCCCTGGAAAAACACATACAAAACATCTTAAGACAATTCTGAATTTGGGCAGGACAGTCGTCCCTTTGAGAGACTGACACAACAGTTTGAATAAGCCCATTGAAGGGCTGATTCCCCCACACCCTTTCCACGGAGACAAACATTCTTTTCAAGTCCAGCCTCGGCAGCACTGCCTAACAGAAGGATGCTCGTCTGCTCTGGAAGTGCAGTGTTAAATTTGGCAGTTCAGACTAACTTGAAACAGCAGGCGGGAACTTGACATTAAGGTGGTGGCCAGAAAAATCAGCAGCCATGATGACTATAAAAACGCTGCCCAGGAGCTCACTATAAATACCATTGTTGCTGTGGCACACCAGCAAATAGCCTATGCAGGCGTGTGGTCTGGCTGAGGCAGATAAAACCTTACTAAGCAATAGGCTTCTTAGTAATCAGGACAATCCCTGTTGCTTAGTCTGAACAGTGATTGCTGGTCACACCCAGTAGATTCCTAGATTAGATTAGCCTTGATGTTTTCCTGCAACCAACAGTACCAATGGAAAAGTTCAGAGGAATGAAGGAACTTTGCAGTCTCTGACTAAACTTTCATTTCTAAAGCTAATTTCTCCTACCACATTCCAGGGTTGCCACACTGCAGACCTCATGACTACAAGGTTCCCACAGTCTGTCTGGGACTAATTCACACATCTTGGTGCACCAGCTTTCCCATAATTCTCTGCTGACACAGATTATCTCCAGTGTTTCATGCTGCTCTGTTTTGTGTAGGCATTCAAAAAAAACCGAGGCTGCAGGTGGTAAGATGACTGCTGGCGGCCGGAGAATAGAATCCACTGTTACTAATGGGATAGGGAAAATCTTATACTCTGGCTCCCTCTAGTGCTGGTGAGGCATGAGGACAAAAGCAGGAGACGCTGACAAGAAAATCTGCAACACCTTAATCACACAAAAGTACGGGCTCTGTATTTATCAAGCATCCCTTTTAATCTTGTATAACCGTTACCTTTTACAAAAAAAAAATATATTAATGAAATTAGCAACAAAGGGTGGACTATTGAAGAGAGGGAAGGCTTTCATCTGGGTAGTTAAAGCAGATAAAAAGAGTTATTGGTGTGTCAGGCCAGCTCCTGCAGAAGAGGCTCAAAGGAATCACCCCCTTTAGCCACAGTCCCACGTAGATCAGTGTCACCTGTCTCCATGATACCTTCCACTGATCTTCACTCCCCAGCCGGGCCCATCAAAATAAAACCAAAAGGATTCTACCGACTAATGTGTCGTGTATTTGCACATGTGGTTATACAACAGATGTAACGTGTGTTAGGTCCAGGAGCGACAAGATGTAGTGCAGGTAAGTAGGTCCCTATTGCACTATGCAGCACAATTTTTCATAACAAAAAAAAAAAAAAAACAAGACTACTAAACTGATAAATACCATTTTTAATGAGTTGAGCCCATATCTCCCTTCTTGCCAAAAACTTAAGAAAATCTGCTGAAATAAAAGATGTGAAGTGGAACAGAGCACTGAGCCATGGAGTGTCAGTCAGTCGGAGGCCGGCTGCGTCACGTCAGGAATGTGCTGAGTTACGCAGAGGGGGTGTCGCTTAAAGCGGCGATGCACAGTTACCCCGCCCCTTCCTCTCTCCCAAAGAGCAACAGAGCATGGAGGAAGTGTGGCTGGGTGTGCATATGCAGACGGGCGCAAAACCATTGGTTCAGTGTTTGTGACTAGCTCTGAAGAGGAAATACAAGGGTGTGTGTGGGGGTCACCGCAGGTTGGGGTGGGGCCAGGTGTAATTCCACTGCCCTTTATACTTCTGGAGTCTCCTTTTCCCCATCCTGAAAGACAGACATCGCAAGTTAGATACTCCATGAAGGGTCCGTCAATCCTTGAGACACTGAGAAACAGACCATGTTACTGCTGGTTAAATCCATTTTAAACTTATGAGCTCTGGATGCAGAGTCAAAGGGCCATCCTCCGCCGTCACTTTAGTGGGTGTGATCAATGTAGGCTGGGTGGCTGTGAGTCTGAGCTACGACACTCACCTCCTCCTTGCCTTTCAGGAGCTTCCTGTTCACAGCATGGAGGAGCCGCTGCAGCTCTTTGACGGTCTCATTCAGCCCCGCCGCCGACTTTCTGTCCATCTCGTCCTGAGTGACAGAGTGGACGGTCAGGCGTCAGCCCGGGAATGCCGGAGGCAAGGTCGGCAGCCAACGCGTCACACAATCACCTAAGGTGCTAAGAGTCAGGGGCGACACTCTCACACAGACACACCTTCTGTGTTGCAAATGTGCTGTTCTCTATCAGGTCTGCTTGCACAGTCTCCTTCAGGATTTCTGCTTGGATCTGGTCCAGAGACTGCTGGGCCTGTGAGAGAAGGTAAACCAATCAGAACTCACCACAGCAGGACTATAAGTGGCTCACGCACTACTATTGCAACTAATATTAGACCATTTACACAGCTGTGGTTTCTGGTCCATGGAGGCTGCGGCCTCTCCCTTTGTGTCATCTTACCACTGACCTGCTGTTTTCACTTACTCTTCTGTCTTATGGTCTCTCAGCAACACTGTTAATATATTACATCTCACCTGCACTATTTAACCCAGCGTTTGTGCTTCTGGTAAAAGGGGTGCGGCGGTAATGCGAGTATTTTTTTGGTGTTTTTGGTGTTTGTGCGCGTGATGGAGGGAGGAAGATGTTGAGAGTCTCTAATAAATGTTAACAAATAAACGTCGTGTTTATTTCAGTTTAACACACTGGATGCTCACTTGCATTTCACCCTCATGTAGTAGGAACCCAGTCCTCATGGTGTTCTGATCTGACTGGCTTTTCAGATGTCAGGTTCTAATGATTTTCCGGCTCCAGGGCTGCCTCACATGTGTTACCGGTCACTAACACAAAGCTCATTGTAGCAGCACTGTACCTTAACTGGCTCCTTGATAGCTGTATGCCTGTGAGGCACTATCCACCTGACTTGTATGCCACTTTAGACAAAAGCATCTGCCAAATGAGTGCAAATATTTTGCTGACTAACACTACCATATAACCTCTGAAGATATTTAAGAAGCTTGTATGTATGTTAATGCATTGGATTCCGAGGCCTGAGCTAAGCTCAGTGGAACCCCACCTCACCTTGTAGAGGTCGCCTGCCACCTTCTGCCGTTCATTTTCCTCCGTCTCCAGCTTGACCAGGGTCTCTGTTAGCTTGGTCTTCAGCTGAAAGGCAACCATGAAAGCTCAGGCTTAGAACCCCCGAGCCCCAGCACACAGTTGCAGGCGTGCTGCATGTTAGGAAGAAGCCACTGCTGTCTCACTCATCTGCAGAGATCAGGTGTGGTGTCACAAGGGCAACCACTGGCTTTTTTAAAAGGTAATGGGCACCTTTAAGTACTGCAGTTGTTGACGTTTCATAAAAACTTGGCAAAACCAAAAACAACTGTGCACCATGATCTAGACAGGTATGCAAACACAAAATGTAGGCCAACAATAACGCAAAGCCAACACATCCAGCTGGAGGCTGACTGGACAGAGTTAGAAGACAGGAGGACACCTGGACAGATGAAGCAATGATGCTGCTGTAGACAGATTTGCACAGCAAGTTGCAACACGTGTCAGAAAGTGTAATACAAAAGCTAGTAAACCAGGTGAGACCTTTGCATGAGTGCTTCTTTTGCCAATAAAGGTGAGTTTCTAGCACCAGTAGTAGTAGTAGTTGTAGTAGTAGCAATAGTGAAGACAGAGTAATGCAAAATACCAGTGGGAGTTCTCAGCTACACAGGAAGACAAAGCTGCCCCATCGTCCACAAGCACCACCAAAGCTGCTGTGTATCCAGAATTTACACCAGGCTGCCATCCCCACCCTCAAACCAGCGGTCAGCAGAGATGACACAGGTAAGAGGCATCTGCTGGGCTACTCTGAGTCGGCAGGGCTTACCAAATTCAGCTCCTCATTCTGTCTGACCGCTTCAGTATATGAGCCATCGAGTTTGCTTTGCAACTCAGTCAAAAGATCTTTGAGCTGAAATGAAGTTTGACACTGGTTTAGATGGTGGCCAGAGGGCCAGCTGGGAGAAACAAACCAAACAGTGGAAGAGAGGAGCACCTGGCCTCCCTCTGCTAGACGGCACCTGGGTGATACAGTGCTGTGATAACAGGATTACAGGCATGTTGTGAGAAATGTGCTTATCTGGCTGGTAGCAGAGAGCTGGGAAAAATGCCAGGGATTTTAAGTGACGAGGTGCTGAAGCTCCCCCTCTCTTCCTAGAAGAGCCACTAACCATTTCTATCGTTTAAGATAAGTAAACCAGGCTGTTATTGAGTTACATAACAGCAAAACAGAACCGCAGCTCTCCCCCACTAGGATAAATGTTGCCTACATTCAGCAGCTCAGCCCCCTTTACTACTTATCAAGGTGGAAATACTGAAGATACAAAGTTCAAGACAAAGACAGGTGAACAGGGATGACCCAAGCATGGATCACACCTTATGGTGTCAAAGGGAATCCCATTACGAAGTGCCTCACACTGATAACACGAATCGATTTCTCCACTCACCTCCCTGACCTCCGTCACATAGGAGGCGCTCTCACGCTCTGCTCTCTCAAGTTCGGATTCCAGGTGCTGCTTCTCACATCTCACCTGTCAAGCCGGTAGAACAAAAGGGCTGATCACGACGGGCCAGTTCTACAGAATGCGATACCAACGGAAAATGTGAAACATGCACTAGGAAGAGAATCCAGAAGAGACTCACGTTTTCTAGGTCTCCACACTCCAGAGTCAATCTGTCCACCTCATTCTCCAGGGCTACCATCTTTACATTCATCTGGGTCAGACAGTTGATAGTTAAGCGGCTGTGCAGCACTGCACAGGCTTTGCGGTGCTGAATGTTTTGCTTACCTCTTTCAGCTCATTCTGCGACACGTCTAGCTTGACCCTCCAGCGAGATTCCTCCTGTTCCACGCTGCTCTGGAGCCTCTGCAGGATTCCCTCCTGTCACAGGAACGGGGAATGTCACCTGGGTCCCTGAGCAGACACTTCAGGGCCTTTAATATATGATCCCCTTTCAAAAAGGACAAGGCCCCTCACCGTCTCTGCCAGCACTTTCTTGTACATCTCACAGTCCTTCTGAAGAACCTTCTGGGCCTCCTCAGACTCTTTCAGCTTTTCTTCTAATATCTAGGAGTATAAAAAAATGAATAGCATTCATTCTACATCTACCAGAAACTAAAACTATATATTAGGGGATCCTTAAAACAGTATGTTCATAATTTTAGGATAATCAATTGTTCGCAAATACCAAGAGAAGCAGAAACACAGTACTCGAAAGATCCACTTAAACAGTTGTGAAATTCCCCATGCCACGTGTCAAAATATTTCTCTACTTGCAAAGAGGCCCTTGTAATATACATAATACAGACCCACTTTCTCCACCCTAAAATTCAACACTGATATGGAGCTTAAGAAATTATGAACTCTCCTCCCCCTGGTCTGTTAAATAATTAACATGAAATTGGGTAATTATTTCAGATAGAAACATGATAAACTATATAGTTGGTGTGCTCTATAAAAGCTGAAAATATTGTACTACTTTGGTCCCTTAAAGGACCAGCAGATTCACTGCGGAGAATCCTGACATACTCTGTCGTTACCTTGGTTTGTTCCAATTCACGAACTTGACCAGGTTCTGCTGTTGTCGTCGCTACTTCTTTGGCTGCGGCTTCAAACCTGTGCAGCCATTCCTGGTGGTTCTGGGGGGGTGGGATAACAGAAACACGATAAGGTGCCAGGAAGGATCAAGCCGCTCCTACGCACGCAGTTGGACGCCAGCGGCTTCCGTGACTGAGCAATGTTCTCCTTTGATGTGTTCATGGTTTAAAAGGATCTCCTGAGCACATTTGACTTCACATGCATTCAGTCGCTATAAATTTCACACATTCATGCCTCCATCCACAGTAACTCAGACTCCCTGGGCTGTGTGCCAGTCTGGGAAGGATGCAAGGTGTGAGCGTGTCACATGACTTGCATGTGCGTACGTGAGAGTGTGTGTGTTATCAGGAATACTTGTTTGCACTTACACTGACTTCGAAAGCATATGTTCTGGGTACTTTTTTCTGGAACGACTATAAGGTGGGGTCAAATTGTGATTCTACATGTGCATATGAACGCTTACCCGGCTTGCAGGCAGAAGCACGCTGGGGAAGAGCCTTCGCAGGATGTCCTGGCACTCTGCTTCCGCCACTTCCAGCGCTTTCTGACTGTCCTGGAAAGAAAGCACACAGCAGGCTGAACACAGCCGGCCCCATATTGCACTCCCAGGCCATAGAGCACAACTGGAGCCAGCCCTGTCTCCCCCCAGAAGCCTGGTAGTACAGCACTAATATAACGATCAATGTTTTGGCCATAATCAATGTTCGACCAAGATATCCTCATATGATTCTGCAACATCTCAGGACTGAACAGTGACCTCCTGGGGACAAATCCCAGCATTACATCAGAAACCTATTCACAGACACCAAGCTCAGCTACTCCATTACAGGTCAGTTATCCTCCATACACATGCTGAAACTCCACTAAAACTGGCAGTGAACTTTACCCAGTAATACAGAATGTTCTTGAAAAATGACTCAAATCTTGCAAGTTTAAACTTAAAAGGTCACAGGAGAACAAAGTAGTGTCACACAGCCTTTACTTGTCTGAACATGTTGCAAAGCATATTTATGTTTATTCAAAAACGTTTAAAAAATTGCCATGTGGACCATACACACATGCACTGAAAATTATTTCCTGCATTTGCTTCTTATAAGTCTTTGAATAAACTGACTTTTGGACACTTTCAAACAGAAGCTAGCCCAGTCGCGTACAGGAAAATGTACATTTTCATTCTTTACTCCTCATTTTGAATTTCTTGTTAAAATACAGTGTGCATGACTATATTTGCACAGACCTAGCAAAGAGAACACAAGATAATTTAATTCACGGTGGAGCTATTTAGCAGAAAGGGGTCTTAGTCAGCCAGCCATATTACCTTGGATACCTAAATAATGGATTAAAGTGCACAGCTGGAAACTAATTTGTAATTTAAGTATCACTTATATTACCATAGTCAGCCCTCCTGACCCCCATCCAAGTGAGGTACCAGCTAAAGACTATTTTAAGGCTTTGGTACTGAAATAAGGCAATCAAGAGAACTGTGCCATCATTCAAATACTATTGCATGTGGAGGATAAAAAGGGCCGAAAACAAACGTTTAGATGGATTACTGGGTCAGGCCTGGGTGAACAGCCAGAGCCTCAGCGTGGTGGAACAAGTTCCCTCCAGCTGCAGTTCATGCTTCGGATTTCAGAGCAGCATCTCTAAAATGAGACTTCAGCCCCGAAGCCCCAGAGACGCCAGAGACTGTTCCCTTCAGTCAGCCATGTGTGGCAGTCTGAGTCAGCCTGTTTTAAAGCACATGTCTGTATTCTTCTGAATTATTCTGGTATGGCTCAATTCAGCTTAACTTCATCCACTGCCATCTCTGAAGGCATTCAGTAGACATGCTTTTACTTAAAAACAAAAACTACATCATGTTACTCTACATTTACGGTGACCTATAGTAACACTTCTGTCAAGCACTGCGTTTCTGGCACAGGATATTATGCTATGCAGTACCATTGTTCACAACCATGCTTAAATGTAGTTCCTGCTATATTTAGAAAAGAACAATCACCCAAACAGACGTCTAAAATGTCAAAACAAGTTCGAAATGACTTAACAGCCTAAGAGGCTTCATGCTATGCTGTGCTGTGTCTGGAAGACACCTCAACAAGCCAACAGCACAAATGGAGCACCAGCTGAAGTTGTGTGAGTCTTTGCCAGTGGCTGGCGTACTCAACTGATAAAACAAATCTCACACCTCTTCTAAAAAACTTGCATGGAGAATATTTTGATCAAGTGTGGTATTTATATTCTGTCTCCTCCCCCCCCTTCCCAAGTTGGAACCCCTGAGGAAAGGCTCACTCACATCACACTCATGTTTCAGCACAGACTTGCGAGCGAACGTGGTGCCCAGTCCTCTCCGCTTCAGTAAGGACATTCATTTAGCTACAGGAACTGCACATATAGGTGTCTCACCGCAATGGTCACATTGAACTTGCAGTCACAATTGCAGAAAAAAACCAGCAGCTCCAAGGTAAAATGGTCTTTAAAAAGCCAAAACAAAGACAGCTGCTCTCCTCAAGGGAGTCATTTCTGGATGAAGAGCGATTTTAAATATGAAAGAAGAAATAAACTTATGATATGAATAATAACTCAAATAAAAGCCCTTTTCACCCCACCGTTGGTTCATTATATTACTGTTTCCCAACACAGTCCTTTGGGACCCCCAGACAGTCCATGTTTTTGCTCCCTTCCAGCTCACAAAATTATGGACTATCTGGCAGGGAGCAGAAACATGAATGTGTCACACACACGATACAGTGACATTTATATTTAAGCAAAGTTCATCTCTCATCCTCTGTTTTAGTCTCAGAAATTCAACAGTCAGCCCATAACCTGGTTTAGCTTAAATTCCACCTTAATAGCCAGCAAAGCCATACTGCACAGCAAACATGACAGCTACTCCCACAATCAGGAAGAAAACAACATAGACAACAAAATGTCACCTAAACAAACAGACAACAAAATGTCACCTAAATCTGGAAATGGACCAAGATTTTAAGGCCTGCAATCATCAAAAGTGTGTGGTGGACCCTGCTTGATCTTTTCTCAAAGGCACCTTCTAATTAATCACAGTCAATGGCTTCAAGCAGGACCATTTGTTTATTTTAGAGTAACAGTGTCCTGCCCCCTCTCTGACTCATCAGCGAGGCACAGACAGGGTGCCGTGTGTGCCAGGAATATCAAAAGCTCCCACATGGAGTCAGAAAGAGTCAGAAAGGGCCAGTCGGAACAGTTACCACCAGGAGGGGAACAGCCACAGCCCTGGGGAGGGTAAGGGACACACCATCAGCACAGAAGGCTGCCGATAGTGGGGGAGGGAGAGCAATTATTTTCAAGCATATAGATGTATGTGTACGAGGGCAATACAACATCCACAGAGCTAGACGGTGTTCCGTGTACGGCAGGGAATCAACCCTCATGCGAGTACAGATGCTGCAGGGAAAAAAGCAGTTTGTTCAAAACTGTAACAAGAATTTGGTAATTAAGATGAAAGAGTAAATGAACCTGAGCCTAATTACGGCGACCATATCTACACAACAAATAAAGCTTTAAAAAAAACACACAGATTAAGGGTGAGATTTGAGAGGAGGGGGGCATGCTGGTTTAGAGGTATGGGGGGGTGGGGTGGGGGGGTTTAATACCGAATACCATGACAGGAGGTGGCAAAAGGGCACAGATACAACCATTAAATGACCTAAGACTAAAGAATTAAGATGAGATCAGTGGCTGCATACTCCTTCCTGCTTGATATTTATTAAAAACTATTAGTTTAATACATTAAACAAACTAAAGTCCCAGTCCAGCCGTGTCCTGGTAGGCAGAGCACAGCAGAGAAGCATGTGAGAAATGCCACAGCATCTGATGGAAACACAGAGAGGAAATATTGAAAAGAACTGGTAAAGCACCATAGCTAAGATGCTTCGCCCTAGAAGGCATGCTGGGAGACACGGGAGCAGCCGATTTCAGCGACAAGGGCCTCAGACACAAAGATGAACGGGAACGAGTATGCAGCAGCCACTGCAGATCATTTGGAAAAGGTGCCTCTGATTCGTTGGATTAAAATTTGCGGCAATCTGCTCTCTGGATGCATCAGTTTTACTCTAGAATATGGTAGACTGGAGGTGGGGTGCGAACCTGGACGGTCTTGCAGAGTTTCCCCTGAAGCATCGACTCAGTGGCTGACAGAGCCTCCATTGCGCTCCAGTTTTTCTCCCGGAGCTCCTGGTCAGTTTCAGAGAGATACCATTTTCAGTTCAGCCGCGAGACAGGTCCTCTCACAGCTCATCCATGAGATCATAGACACACAGTGAAAAGACTGATGCTCTGAGAGATTATGCTGCACACCCATGAGGGGCTGAAGAGAGTACTGTATAAAGAATGACATCTCATTCCTTTTTTTTGGACCAAGATGTGGAATAGTGGACATCACTCCATGGATAAGATAAAAAATGTAATGGGTGGTGTTATAGGAGGAATATGGTACGTTTAGAGTTTAAAAAGTGTAACCAAATTTCACGAATTCACGTTACTTCTGCTGTTGTCTTGTGTTCCTTCCTACTAAATTCAGAGGTAGCCACTGAACTTGAGACCCACAAATGATTCAAACACCAAAAACACTTTACATACAAAAACAGACCAGCTCTTGCTGCTGAAGCGCATACTGCAGACATCCTCTAAGAGGTCTACACTGTCCTACGATGCTGCGTGCCCCCGCTCTCCCCCCAGGCTCCAGGTTTGACGAGTCAATGTGGATGAGCACCTCGTCATGCTCAGAGACAGATACAGGTACTGCCCCCCTAGCCTATAGATCTGGAAGCTCTGATTGCACAACACAATCTTCAGGCACAAACCCCAAAAGTGCAATACCCTGGGGTACATCCCTGCTCTACTCCCCAGCCTATTAAAACTGCTACCATGCAACAATACCAATCCAAGCACTATTGACCACAAACTGGAGACCAGTAGCCAGAAAGCAGTGCTCACACACCACAGAATCTGCAATGAATTACCAACCTTTAGCATGCAAATTACCATCACAGGAACTACCATCTGATAGTCTGTCTCCCCCCCCCCCACTGCCAGAGGGCACCATTACCACCACTTGGCAGTGGTCCTCTACCATGTTACTGTACCAACCAACAGCAGGCACCAGAGCCCAGCGTATGCTTGCCAGGAGCCTCCTCTTGGCATGTGCTAGGCAAGTGTGTGCTGAGGGCGTGTAGGCAGGGCTACACCGACATGGCTGTGCAGCATTCAGCAGAACCAGCTGCAGGGAGCCCAGCGCTGCGTGCAGTGGGAGACCTACGTTGTTCTTCTTCCGCTGCAGCTCCAGAGAAGCCCGCAGCTCTGTCATCTCCTTATCCAGGTCCGACACCTGCCCCTCCTTTGCTGCCAGCCTGGAGGGGGATAAGGACAGGGGTCACACAGGCAGCAGGCATCCTGCAAACTACCACAAGGAGGCAGCCTCAGCGTGGGAGGCAGGAGGGTATGGTGACTGAGCAGCGGTACTTACAAATCTAGCAGCTCCTGGCTCGGCCCCTCGGCCTTCGCCACCTGTGGAAACAGACAGACGTACAAGGTCAGTTCTGCCAGAGGGACCTTCAGGCAATTATTACTATTAATTATTTCTTCAAGAACCTGCTTTGGATAAACTCAGTTTAACATAAAATATTTTTACTGAACCAATGCAGTTTAACTACTTTGCTGGACCCCTCACTGGTTAGCTACCTCACTGGTGCCAGTCCCATATGCTCAAAACATTTAAGCAAGCTAGCTTCCAGCTGTTTAGCTAACATAGCAATACTAATGCCCTTTCCCCTCCATATCACTTGCCTAGAGACATTAAATAGCACTTAAGTACCTGCTGGTCATGCACCTTGGCCTTTAGGACCATGCATTCCTCCTGCAGTGCCTGCAGAACCAATGGGCAAAGGGCAGAGGTCAGAGTAGGCCAGGCTGCCCCTCCCATCCTACGCACGGTCCTTTGGTCCATCTGGGGAGCCAGGCCTCACCTGGACTTGCTGCTCCTTGTTGGTAGCCTCCCTGGCCCCCGTCACCAGAGCCCTCTGCATGTCCTGCACCTCCTCATCTCTGCCAGCCAGCCTAGGGGATGAAGACAGTGCAATGGCTTTATACAAATGACCCAGAATTCAGGCTACTCTGAGGACCTCACACTTTCACCAGGACCTCTATCACAAGCCTTCCTTCCAGGCCAATCTGGAAGGAATCAAAAGGGCACATGAGATCTTAACGTACAGGTGGCCACACACCACTTGTAAAGCACACCAGGCTCAACCTGGGCTGCCAGAGGCCACGGCAAACAGCTGCACCTGCTGAACTCCTGACTAAAGCCTCAAAAAGCTCACAGCAAATAAAAAAAAAAGGAGGATTAATTCTTAGATAACCATCACACAAATAAAACAAAACAATCCCATGGGTGCAAAGAGGAGTGTCACGGAGAGCTCACAGTGCCTGCAGCTCCCGGAGCCTCGTGCCGGACGCTTCTGCCTCTGTAGCTTCCCGTTGCCTGGCGAGGTCCACCTCTGCTGACAGGGACTTCACCTGCTTCTCCAGCTCCTACACAGACAAAGAGGGAAGGGGGCAAGGAGGTCCAGTGAGGTCCATTGGCTGTTTAACGTAAAAGTACAGACGCTTAGAGAGCACAGCTAAAGTGAAACACACACACACCTGCGTTACACTTTCCTGTTTTAGCACATTCTCCAACTCTGCCTGCAGCTTCTTCTCCAACATTTTCAGCCTCTCATCCTTCTCTTGGACCCTGTGGAGTGGAATAAATCCAAAGAAACTGAGCACCAGGGGTGGACAGTAACAACATTCACTTGAGTACTGTCCTTAAGTACACTTTCCCAGTACCTTTACATTACTTGAGTATAATTTTTTTTTTTTTAAACTTATGAGTTTTACTCTACTACATTTGAAAGACAAATATACTTTTGACTACATTTTTATGAAGGTTCTTGTTACTCATTACTTTGAAGCATAGCTGTGAAGTCAGCGGACAAATCCTTTTCTAAAACGCTACAGGCCATATTGTATTTGTCACAGAAGAAAAACCAATCACTGTAAACTACTCCTACGCTGTCAGGCAAGTTGCTATGCTGTGGAAGTTAGAAGCTAGAGGTGTGTGTCTGGGTTGGTCGTTTTATTTTTTATTTTTCTCAGGAAGTTGCATCTACAATGATTCCTCTCTGTCTGCCCGATTCACGCATTTGCATGAATGCACACACAGATTAGGTATCAATCTCTGTATTAAAAACATGAAAACAATGGCTGTCCTTTTGTTGATTCAATTGTGTTTCTATAGGCATTGTAGCATATTCCACAAGCTTTTTATTCTACAGGTTCTATATGCAAGTCAGAGCATTAAACAGGTTGTTTCATTAATATTAGGTTCTAGAAAAGCATAGTGGCAACAATGCATTGACATTATAAATAAAATATACTTTTGAATACTTTCAAAAATCTAGTATGCCAATACTTTAAATCTGATTGAACAACGCTCTGTCGTATTGCAGTAATATTTGACCAGGAGTGTCCATACTTGAGTCAAGTAGTGGAGCCGTGTATTTGGTCCACGTCTGGCGAGCACAGACCCTAAGAGGACACTGATTCTCATTGGCAGTCTAATCAAACTGACAGATTTCTACAATTCTACACATTCATTTATGAAACTCGCTAAGTTTATTTCCCCAATTTCCCCAAGGGGATCAATAAAGTATCTATATATTTAAGGTGATTCTCTCCCCCCCCCCGATCAAGCTGTATGAAGCCACAATCACCCAGTTAGTTACGCTGATACATAACGCCATGCCAATTAGGGCTATATTAATAGGAGTATATGGGTATTATAACAGATTAAAGATACAAAGAGGTAAAAACTTTATAAATAACTATTAAATGTTAGAAAACAAACCTAAAGATGCTCAAGATTAGCTTTCAAAAAAATAAATAAAAAAATCTAAAAAAGCCTCTGGCCTGACTTTACTAAAGATCTCTTCTAAAGAGACACAAAATGGTAACTCCGCCTAAGGGAGTTACAAGAATGGCAATACAATGAAACATGTTTAACAGTTAAAGGAGTGTTACGTGTGGGAGACACAGGTGGATCGTTCCCTGTAAGTAAACATGTGAGTCAGCCTGGTGGGGCCCATGGGACACCTTGTATAGAGGACCTGCACCCGATGTTTTCCGTTAACTTTAGTCAGCATTCCAAAAAAAGGAACGATTTCATAACATGTCAAATCTGCCAGAGAAGCTGCCTCATATTCTACACGCCACTGTTCTCCAAAACATGCTGCTGCAGAGCCCAAGCTAAACGGCTCGGACGCGAGAACAGAGCCAGGCCTGTCCGAACCAGTCGCTACACAATGCTGCTATGAAACCTGTGAAGTATTCCTGCCCTGCAGAAGCTGTCAGCTGTTACTGACCCTAAATTTTCTTTCAAACGCACATGGTGACACGGCCCCGGTTCCAAATTTAACGAGCAGCTCCGGGGCCTCATTCAGTGTCTGTGAAGAAGCTCACTTCACTAAGCCACGTGGGTGACGGTGACTCTGACCGGCGTTAAGGCGACACTCACGTTCTTTGCAGCTCCTCTAGCACAGACTCCGGCGGCGTCTGCAGGAAACAGGATGGAGAGAAGGGCCAGGGTCAGAGACCGTGGAGGAAACATCTGAGCAGCCTGCATTTTGTCCACAGACGCTGGAAGGAAACGGTCTAAAGCGGTACCTGCTCCCGCTGGTACTGCTGTAGAGCCTCCACATCATGCTTCAAAGCTTCATTCTCCTCCTTCAGTTTCTGTTGGGGGGGGGGGGGGGTTATACTTAAGCCTTGGCTTTGACACAAAACAAATGAAAGCAGTACTTCGAAAACGGCTGAGGTCAAATGGCTATTGCTGATGAACTAGCACATATGAAAACTATATGTAGAGATGTTAACTATTAAAGTCAAAGTCAGGTCATTCTTCAGGTCTTTTGCTTTGCTGCAGCTGAATGACTCATGCAGAACTTCCCTAGGTACACCCAAGCTGGCCCAACCAATGCCTCACCTTCAGGTCCTCTTCCTTATTGGCCACCTCAATCATACCGATTTCCAGCAACTGCTCCACAGTCTTTATCTTATCTTCCTTCTCCTGAATGCTGTAAAGCCGTGTGTGCATTAAGAAAATTAGCAAGATATGCCGTGGGGTTTCACACCAGGATGGCAACGTGATCATGAGTAATGAGGATGAAAGAGGTCATTGTACGATGGCTGGCACACACCTCTTCTGATAGGCGTCCAAGGCCAGCTGCGAGTGAGCCTACAGAGCAAAAATGAGAGGCAGGGAATCAGCAAAAGTGGGCGTGATCAATCAAAGGGGCTCAAGCCCCGAGTACGATATCTTAAGAGTCCTAACCTGTTCGGATAGCTGAGCCTGCATATTCTGCATCTCCGCCTTCTGCGCCAGGATCTCTGTGCGCATGGCCTGGCGGTGAGAGGATGGGCGTCAGAAAAAGCATTTAGACGACAAGTTCAACATAACAGTAACATCAATGCGAAACAGAGCCAGTAAAACAACCAGCAAAGGCATGTGGCCCACAGCACCCCCAAAAGCACTCTGGCACACCTGCATTTCCGTCTCCCGGCCAGCCGCGCTGCTCCTCTCTGCATTGAGGGTGTCCTCCAGGCTCTTCCTCTGAAGCTCCTTGTCAGACAGCCTTATAACCACCACACACAGACACACACAGAATGTTCATTTAAATTCCTGTTTCACAGAAACGTAACCACAGGGGATGCTTTAGGAGCCACTTTGCCGCTAATCGAACTGGGACATGACTCACAGCTTCTGAAGTTCCTCGAAGTGGAAAGCGGTGGTGGTCTGTGCCAGGAAGAAAAATGAATTAACGCAGCCACCCTAATTATCTATAAAACTGGACATTCTAGCTGCTCGGCGCACACTGGACCTCACCTGAGTATTCAGCTGGCTCTGAAGGTTGTCAATCTGGACCTGCAGGGCTTTGTTTTCAGTCACAAGATTCTACAAACAGAAGAGATATGATAGTGAGCGATCTGCACCTCTGCTCAGCCAGTGTTTCTATGCTATGGCCTTCCCCATGTGGGACCCCCCACCACCCCCAGCCAGGGGCCTGGGGCACCTTAAACTGGCTCCCCGGTACCTGCAGCTGCTCCTGCAGGGAGGTGTCCTGCTGCGCGTGCTGCGACACCTCCAGCAGCTGCACCAGCCTCTGCTCCACCTGCTCCTTGGACACCATCATGTCGGTCAGGTTGGTGCGCAGCGTCTGGATCTCCTTGTTCTTGCTGCTCATCTCGGACTCGGCTGCCAGCAGCTGGTTCTGCAGGTCTGTGGTAACATTTCAGTTCAGCCCCTAATAACTCCAAGCACTGACTACTGGTACTGCGCTTAGTCACAGACAGTAAGGATCAGCCAGTCGATCTTCCTGATTATGCATGTATTATGATGAGTACCTGCACACAAACTAATGAAAAAGTTTAAATCACTGATATGAAGGCTATTTCAGCCATATAAGGATCCTGAAATGATGTTTTTCTTTTTGGCTGTTGGGGGCATATGGTGCCTATATGGGCTTAGGGGGGCTCCGTTCACCTTGCTTGTTGGCCTGCAGGTTCTCCCTGTCGGAATTGACGCTGTGCAGGAAGCCTTGGACTTCCTCCCATCGGCGCTTGGCCTCCTGGACCTGAGCCTGGCAGGCACCAGACAACGGGGAGGGGGGCAGATCAACAAAAACAGAGTGACAGGAAGAGCTTATAAAAGAATTCTTCCGGTCACATCTAGCAGTATAAGTTTGGTTCCCATCCATACCCAGCAACCAGAAAGGAGAAACATACACACGCTTGTCATCACCCCCCCCCCCCCGGCTGTACCGCAGATGAATGGACGTCCAGGCCCAGCCACCAGGTTGCCTTCCTACCTCCAACTGAGAGACATTCTGCTTGTATCCGACCTCCAGGCTCTTTCGCTGCCGCTCCTCCTGCTGATGCTTGCCGCTGGCCTCTGACAGCTCCTTCATCAAACGTGCGCACTCTCCTCGCAGCTGGTTCAGCTCCGACGACTGCCTGGCGGGGGGGGGGGGGGGGGCACTCAGCATGGGGGCCGCTACCAGCTCGCGAGGTGACGGGTATGTGTGAGCTTGTGTGACTCCTGCGATTCAATGCCACGCACATGATCCTCACGGCAAACCCCCCCATTAGAGGCCACCAGCACAGTCAGCCACACCAGCCCGGCCAGGATATCCGGGTAACACTACACTCAGAGGGAAACCCAATGCTGGCCGATCAAACACTCTGACGCAGTTTCTCCTAGGACAGCTGATTAGGGTTAGAGCAGTCATGTTTATATACTGACCAGTGCTTAGTACCCTGCACTGTTGTGACTGCACTGCAGAACATAATAGAAGTACTACCCTTCCTGGTGGTTGTTTCACTGCGTGTGTGCGGTCCAGGTATACCTTACCTTGCGGGGACCAAACGTCCCCACAACATGATGAATACCCGTTTTTTTTTTTTTAACCTTATGGCGACCAGTTTCCTGGTCCCCATATGGGAAAACTATTTTATAAAAATCCGTGACTGCAATGCAAAAACTCTTGTATTTTGTTTGGTTACTTATGGTTAGGGCTGGGCAGGGGTTAAGGTTGATATAGCATTAGCATTTTTCCCATAGAAATGAATGAGCGGTACCCAAAAAGATATGATTACACGACTGTGTGTGTGTGTGTGTGTGTGTGTGTGTGTGTGTGTGTGTGTGTGTGTGTGTGTGAGAGAGAGAGAGAGACTCACTTGCTTTCTCCAGTGCTAACAGCATCCCTCAGGATGTTGTTCTCCTGCTGTAGACGGGCGATCTGGCCTTCCAGCTGCTCCAGGGCCTGCTGGTACTAAAAGGAAGAGTGGGAGGCCACGCTGTAAGCACTCGGAGGTTCCGCACCGGCCTTGCAGGGCCCCACCTCAGCCTCACCTTCATCTGGTAGCTGGCCTGCATGACGTTCTGCTGCTCCTCCAGGGCTCCACGCTGCTCCCGCAGCATGGACTCCACACGAGCAGTCTTCTGCTTCTCTGCCTGCAGCTCCTGGGGGGAGAAAGGGCCGCATAGTCAGTGTCACCGGGGCCTGAGGCTGCCCTGTAAGGGGGCACTGGATGCAGCTTCTCATTCCACACTAGTGCAGTGAGGCAGAGGAGCTTCCTGTCTGAACAGGTGCAGTGGGGAAGCCCGGTAAGGCGGGGGGGCACATAGAGACAAGGGGAGGCACCAAGGAAAACCCTAGTCTTGGGTTACAGCCTCCCCAGATGCCCTCGGGCAGGAGGCGACAAATTGATTTCTCCTGTACTTGGACTCAGGTCAGCCTTCGAAAGGGAGTCGGCTTACAGGCGTGTGAACCTGGAGGCAGACGGGTGGCCGGCATGTGTGTGGTTCAGAGCCCAAGCCGACGGACTCCAGCGTCAAGGGGGCGGGGGCTAGCAAGATGGGGGGGGTGGACAGCATGAAGGGGGCGGGGCTAGCATGAAGGGGTGGGGCCAGCACAAAGGGGGCGGGCCCACGCTGGAGTTGCTGACCAAATCGCGAACAGATCTGCTCAGCTTGCTCGTCCTGCTCGGTTTATCCCCAACATGCCCACTTCAGCCCCCCATGGGCTAAACACCCCCTTTTAAGGCTACTGCTGGTCTTTGCCAAGTGAGACATTACACCCCCCCTACCTTCCACCTGTTCATATCTACCAGTCTGGGATCAGACTGCCCCCCCCATGGCCCTGACAGCCCACCCCACACTAATACCTTACAGAACATAACACATGACATGGGGCTTTTAATGTCGCGGACCGGGGGGGAGCAGGAAGAGCTTCAGGCACCAGCGTTGCGTTTAAACCCACGATTCCCTACAGCGCAGTGATGTGAGCCTGCTTCTCCCAGCACGGCAGACCTACCTGGCTCAGCTGCTTCACCTTCTCCTTGGCGATGGAGGCCTCCTCCTGCAGAGTGGTGAGCATCCGCTCCTTCTCCTGGAGCTTCTGGGCAGAGGGCTCGGGCTTGGCTGTGGACTGGAATGGTACGGGGGGGGGGGGGGGGGGGGGGGGGGGGGGGGGGGGGGGTGCAGGTAAGTGAGCCACTTTAACCAAATGTTTCTGCCAAGCCAATAAAAATGTGATTATTAATAATACAGACAGTTCCAAATGGAAGCACACACACGCGTGTTAAACCCGACTGTTTCACAGCATCATTTCTCCAACCTGTTGCCCCCAGGCCTTTGGATCACTCACCCGGTGCCAGGCGTCCAGGGCAGACGGGTTCTTCTCCCTCAGCACTGTCGCCACGCTTACGGCGTCCTCCTCCGACAGGACCAGGCTGCGCAGCCCCGCGATGAACTCCCTCAGCTTCACCTCAGAGTTCTCTGCACACGGGGAAGCACCTGTCACGCATGCATACGCTCCCACTGCAGGCAAATCCCCGGGCCCATGAGGAGCACACCCCCCCCCCCGCAAAAAAAACCTACCCTTGTTTGCCTCATTCTTCATCTTCTTGGCGCTGACCTTGGGGGGAACTTCCTCAAGGTGGCCCTTCTGTGGGTTGGCATGGGCTGTGGGCTCCCTGTCCACAGCAACGCAGGTCTGCTCCGGTGGGGCTGGAACTGGCCAGACAGACGGTCATCCTTACACAGAGGAAACTGGCTTTTCCCCCACGGTGGTCAGAATACCGAAGCACCAGTGCACAGACAGCCTTGCAGATACACACAGTCAGCTCTAAGCCCTCATACATCATGGCAAACTAACAAGGACCGGAGGCCATGTGGCACCTCCCACCTGTCACACTGCGTTCCACTCTAAAATCAACAACATGCATCGTCTGGGCGCCCACACTGTACCGGGCTCAGTCTTCTGCTTCTTCGCAGAGTTCTTCTTCTTGCCACCGCCGGTGGTAGTGGTAGCGATGCTAGTAGTTGTAGTAGTGATGGTTGTACTGGGAGAGGCAGCCCCGGCGCTGGGGTTAGGAGCGGCATTTTCCTGGACTCTGATTTCAGCGCTTACAGGAACCTCTTTCTTGAGCGGAGCAGAGGCCTGCTCCACTTTGATCTCCAGGTGAAGCTCGTCTGTAGGAGAGCAGAGGGAAGTGTTTGCCACGTAGAACAAGAGGACCAACAAACATATGGAAACCTGAGCACGTGCCCCTGCCATGACACAGCAGAAACACCGGCTACCGCGAGATCCGTGCAAGGCCTCCACATGAAGGTCACCTTGTGAACCGTGACCTGACTAACGCTCTCGTTTATGGGCCCCAGAGGCTCATCCCCCACCCGGTCAGGCCTGCGCTTCACGAGGGGATGACATGGTCACATTTACGAGCCAACGCTGTCTGCCTTAGACACTAACAGGACTCATTTGCACAGCACAAACCACAGAACCCCCGCTTAGGTTCTGCGAACGTCGCACCTGGCCGTTCGCCAACTTCGTTCTTCTGCTTCTTCTGGGAGCCCTTCTTCTTCCCGACAGGCTCGGGCGGAGGGGGACTGGGCTGCTTGCTGACAGCGAGGGTCGGCTCACTCTTGCGTGGGGTGGCTTTCGAGCCATTCAGCTCCCGGGTGGGGACCTGCTCCTCAGAAACGGGAGGGGGAGCAGCCCGGGTGGTGACTGCCACCTGCTGCTGCTGCTGCTGCTGTTGTATTTGTTGTTGTTGCTGATGCTGTTTCTTCTCCTTTTTCTTCCTCTCCCGTAGGCTGGGGGGTGGCTCTACAGGGGTGGGGGTGGGCATGCGCATGACCTGGGCTGGCTCCTCCTCTTCAGGGGGTGAGCTGGCCACCGCATCTGTCAGATCAAGCTCCCGGTGGTCCTCCTCCGACTCGCCGCCGCCCCCACCGCTGCTGCCCCCCCCCCCAGCCTCCCTCTTCTTGCTCTTCTTTTTCTCGCCCTTCTTGCGGGCGTCTGGCTTGGCAGCCGCTGGCCGGAGATCACGCTTCTGCCGGGCCAGCACCTCGTCGTACGACGTCTCTTTCATGAAGAGCCAGAAGAAGAGAAACATGAGCGCGATCACGAGGGAAGGGGCCAGGATGAGCAGGTACTGAGAGTCGTAGAAGTCCATCATCATCCTGGAAGGACAGAAAGGCAAATGTTTATTGCGCTGCAGACACAGCCGCAGCCACAAAATGCAACAAGGCTCCGCATGTCAGGGAAAGAGGACTTCCTGTCAACATGGCTTCATAGTACCTGATTAGCAAGGGGGGCCCTTAATATGTCTTCCTGAACCTAGAACATTTTTTGCTCTAAATAGGATGAGTAACTGTTCTGTGGACCCCTGGTTAAAAAACCCCTGCCTTAAATTATTCTACAAATGTTACAGAGCTGCTGCTGCCAAAACCATATAAAAAAGATGGATTAAATACAAATGCAATTTAAAAACATAACACATTTACCCTCCCCTCTAGACTAAATCATCACAGCACCATGGCTGCTAAATCCTTGAGATTCAGGTCCAAAGATTTTTTAATAAAATTTTAAAATCCATAAATTCACTAGTGACTGATTCATGAGTTTCCACAAACCAAATGCAAATGCCATTCAGTGCTCGTTGGTTGAAAGTCCACAAGCACTAACAGTGATTTATTAAAGAGCCAAGCCATGATGCCAATGGCAGGTTTCCTGAGCATCGTTGTCAGTGGAGAGGTCTAAAACCCAACCTTACATTAAGCCATGGTAAAGTGCGTGTAAACAGCGGGCTTAAAGGACCAATGGGACGACTCCAACACAAGACCCACAATCAAATACAGTAATAATTACTAACAAAGCCTATTATTTACAAGGTCGTCGTCCCACACATTACGTCAGCAAACAGGCTTGTCACCATTTTCCAGACTCCCCCATCTGAGGTGAGGTGTTGATGGTACCAACACACCATTCTGGATTGTTAACGTTTTGGCGGTGAAGGGAGGAGTGTAAATCATAACACTGGCTACTTTATCTCCCACAAGCCTTCCCCGGAACTGAGGGCACAGGCCCTGAGGCAGTGCGTGCCACCAGCGGTTCAGAAGGAACAATCATCATTCATATAAAGTATAAATGCAGTCTGAGTAAGTAAAGTTCCTTTAAAGTAGAGTGTCTCTATCAAGGAAGCATCAATAATAAATCTAAGAGCAGACTGCTACAAGCTGTAGGTGGGATTCATTAAGCAGCCCCTCTAGAAATTTGTTGGAGGCATGGAGTGAACAGAGTGGTATGAAGTAACTAGTGGGAATGGAACCCACCTGGTGGAACAAGTCCTCTAGGCCTCCATACAACTAAAAGCTAGGCCTCCATACAACTAAAAGCTAGGCCTTGAATCCAGGACACACACTGACCCATATGCCACTTGGGAGGCCCCACCAGGCCAAAAAAATGGTAAACAAACCACTAAAAATGCAGGAAGGCCTGTCGTCCAAATGACATCAGCACAAAGGTGGAAACAGGCTAGTGGCCATAGGAGAGCGCATACTGCTGCCGCTTAAAAAGCCCTGATGGCTGGCTCGCCTCCAAAACAGTGCAGCCTGTGCCGAGTTTGACAACCTGCCACTGGAAGGGCACGTGATGAGGGAGCGGCGAAAGGCCCAGCGTGGATGGGAAACATAGGCGTGTCAGAATGACGTCTGCCCACCCCACCGTTCTCCATGCTTCGCTGCCCTCATTCAATTAGACTTTGTGCTGAACGCAGTAATCTGGACTTGCTGGTCGCCCTGTGGCTAAATTCCTTCCATTCCTCATGGGGTGTGGCGGCATAGAGCATGTTCACGTCTGGGGGCAGAGGTGGGGTCACAGAAAGCAGGGTTTCTTTCCCCCCCCCCGAAACAAACCTACCACATCTGTGTCGTTGCCTCCAATCTGACTATTCACACAAGTCCTCCCTCTAACCAGGTCACAGTCAAGGAAGGTTCATACTTCTCCACACGTGTACCAGCAGACGTGTCCGCTCGAACGTTTATGATGCGTTTAGCCTGTGCAGGCGAACGTCTGCTGGACAAATTTGTGCCTGCGCAGCTCTACTGTGGACACACTATGCATGATCGATTCACTAGCATCCACTTTAAAGACCAACATGGGTGCTTTTGACAAGTGTTTGGGTAATTTGAAAACCCTACAGACTATTTACAAGGTAATAAAACTGCTACATACGTATAAATGCGTGTGTATTGAGTGCAGATTTGTCTCGAATTGAAAAACCACATTCCAACCTGCTGAACAAAGATGGCAACTGTCAGCTGGCTCTCTGAATTTGTAAAACAGAGAAACACACAAACCTCACTGCTGTGGTACATGTGGAAGGAATATCAGAATAATAATTTCTATTATAATTAAAATAGGAATACAATACGTTGCGAGCATGTGAAAAGCAAGCGACTTGATCGGAGAACGTTTCCGTGTACGACTAGGCAGAGTAGGTATGCGAGTGTCATGCTTGTGCGGAGAAGTATGAACCAGCCTTCAGACCTCAGTAAGTTCCAGGGCAGACAGCAATACAACCCCCCCCCCCCCACAGTCAAGTCCTGTGGTCTAATCCACCCAGAAATCCAATGGGTGCCATGCTAACCTCAACACAGGGGGACTTTGCAAGGGGCAAAAATATATGTGGTAAATGTCACCCAGCGCTCTGGCTGCAGTTCCATAACACCCACCCCCCAGCTAACTTGGCAGAGGGCAGTGTAAGAAGCCTTAACCAGAGAATGATGGCGCTTGCCTTCATGACAACTCCATTATATCCTCTCAACAGAGATTTAACTGTAAGGAAGCACTAAATGTTATATAGTCTCATTACAGAGTAGAACCACCAAGTTTGCTTTTCAGGAAGAAAAAAAACCCAGCACAGACAGAGATGAAGATCATCAGTATATTGCTCTAGGTTAAAGTTTTACCTGTAAAACTAGGCTTCAATAACATTAGGAACCTTAGAATAAAGTTTAACAGTTTTATTTGTCATACACATCGAGTACAAGGTGCAGTGAAATGCACAGTTGCCTAACTCCAGTTGATGGGGAGAAAAAGGAAGACAGAAGTTTGAGAGATGACAGACATCACGTATTACAGGCATTAGACATTACATATAACCAAAATATGCATAGTGCGCAAAATCAGCAGTAAGTGGAGGTAGTGAAAGAGTCCAGAAATAAGCAGATATGGGAGTATTCATACATCTCTATGTGCGAGTTAAGTTGGCTGCCCTCACAACACTGTTTTGAACAGAACAATAATACTTTCAGAAATGTTTTCCACAAACGTCACCCTCAGAATGAAGTCTCAATCTTCAAAGTTACTTATGTAATAATAGTAGTGGTGCACCGATATGGGTCGATATCAATACATTTGTCTTTTCTTGTGTAATATCGCAGATACCAATAAGCTCTGAGCAAGTTGCTTGAAGGGGGGTTGGGCACAGATTAACGTAACAACATTAAATCATTCTTTTTTAATTCTGTGGAAAACAAAAGATTGATCTTTGGGCTCAAAAAGATTGATCTATCAATGAATTGAAAATGTCAAGGCTGGTATAAAACCATCTTGCGGGCCAGTAGTTTGAGACCTCAGACTGGTGAATGAGCCGTTGAAATCACTCACTCTTTACTATGGTAAATTTTTGATGGTCCAATGAAATGATCACCATTTTTTTTTTAGTAGTCATGTCTTTAGTTCTGGCGCAGCTGATTTTGAATATTGATAGTCTAAATATCTACTGGAAATATCAGCCAAGACTGACACAGACTGATGCCAAATTCCATGTTGATTTTGATTTATTATTATTTTTTTTTAATATCGACTGATTCATATATGTTATATAATATATTGTGCATCTCTAAATAATAGTTACAACCAACAATATAGAACTCAAAATGCTTGGCTTTCAGAGATGCATCCTCCTTTCCTTCATAACACTCAGAGGAAGGACCTCCTCTGTCATAAAAGCTGCCTCATTGTAGTTTGTGCCCCCCCCCAGAGATAACACAGGGTTCCAAATAAACACTGGATACATTGTTGTTGTTTAATTACTGCAGGCCTTATGCAAACCTTCCTACCCTAAAACACAGCACCACACATCCGTGGTAGGAAATGCTTCTCAAAGTCACTGCCATGTCACTCTGGCAGCTTCCCCATTTTGCGACACATCCCAAGTGCGCACACACACTTTCACTTCCTCTTTACCACTTAAATGGAAAAATAAAAAATGTACATTTGTGTGACAGCTTGAACAGAAGTGTGGTTGACGGCAAGCTGTTCAGTGGCTTTTCTAAAAAAGTTAGAAAAGGTGGGCCGTGAAGAAGAAAGAGGACTAAGGCTAAAGCTTTGTGGTAACCTCGTATGGTATATGCGAACGCACACAGAATGTATATGGGTGCCATCCCAGGAACGTCAGCGAGTGTTTCTGTAGCGCTGCCTTGCTTATGGAAATGAGTCCCCATACAAAGTACTCTTGGGCCACTTGTTCCATGGAATCTAGCTGGTGTTTGGCCTTTGACCTTAAAAAGGTCCCAAAAGAGGGCCTAACGCAAGAAGACAGAACATCAAAGCCTTTGGAGCACCCTGCGCTAACATCACCCTCACCAACATATCCCAGAGGTAACCCAGGAAGCAAGAGACTATAGGAATGTTTCCCAGCCCAATCTACAGGGATCCCCCGACAGTCCACGCTGGACCAGCTCCCAGATCCCTGCCAGATTGTAGACATTTTTGCTCACAGTAGGGAGCTGGGAGGGAGCAAATACGTGGACTGTCCGGAGTCACCGAGGACTAGGTTGGGAAACACTTCGGAGACAATTCAAACCATAAGCTTTGGGACTGATCCAGCTGCTCACCTGCTACATCCCCAAACTTCAAAATCTTCACCCAAACTAGACTGAGTCATAAGTGAGGAAAATACCAAGATCGCATTTCTTTCCATTTAAGACCGAGCTAATCACCGGTATAATGGCTATTAATAATACTTAGGGCTTGTGTCACAATGCTGAAATGAATGACTATAGTCCTGGGTTCACTTAACAGGCAATAAGACATCACCACCGCATGAAACACCAATGGAGAGCAACCATGTTCACAGCCATGCAGTACAAGAGTGAAGCATCAAGACTTTTGCATCTTGACCAGACTGACACCAGGTATGATTAAGCCTCCAGATTAACACTATTTTGCCAAACCACACCTAATGCCACCTGAAAAGCCTTCCATGCCTCCTGATGCACATGTGAACCAACTATACTGGTTTAAAGAAACCATTTGTTTTGTTTAACTGGTATTCCACCAAGGGTGTACCTCTACCTTGCTCCCAGTGCTACCGGAGATGGGCTCAAGTTCCCCCTCACCACACTGACCACAATAAGCAGATGGGATGAAGGATAAATTGATCGGGTTTGTTAAACAAAGATCCAGGCTTAGCATTAATAACAATCTTTCAACAGAAGTTAATATTAAGTGCACAAAAAGAAGTGGGGAAAAGGATAAAGCTTATGAACTTATCCATTACATCTATGGCTAGCCAAGTTAACCCCTGATTAAACTCAGGGGCAGCTGAATGACTCTCTGGTGTCCAGGCAGCTGAATGTCAGCCTAAAGATGATGAGCTATCCTGACTGACATAGCCAAACAATAACACATCGGTCAAGCAACAAACCTGGACAAGGTGTGGTGGTAGTGGTGGTGGTGGGGGGGGAGGAGATGGGGCAAAATCCACACATCTAAATCTCCCATATCGAAAATAACTGGGACAAGAGCCACATACAGTGCAGGTTTGACAATCATTTAAAATTTGATTCTCACGTTGAGATAATGCTCTGTCTACTGCTTGGAAGGAAGGTAAATACTCCGCAAGATGCAGGCTGCTTGAAAGAGTCCTGCCAATTCAGACCAAAAGACATTAGGGGAGCAACCAGACTCTAGCCCGCTGGCCTGCTCTACACACATGCATGTACCTCTGCTTTGCGACACCAAAAAGGGGAAGCAGGCAGGGCCATGTGGGAGAGTGAGGAAGAGGGCAGCTGACTGCCGCTTAGATTATTTAGCCAAAACACTAACAAGGCTATTAAAAAAATCCTCACAGAAAACCCACTTCGAACTTGCTTAACTGAACAGCAAAATGGTAATAAATCCAACATGTTTGAGTGGTGACAATCATCTAAAAAGTAAAACAAGGCTACAATTCAACACTTCTACTGTACATTGTTCAGTGGTCAAATGGGAATAAAATTTGTTAATGGCAGGTGAGTTCAAGGTAAAGGACAAACATGGGCCCCTGACTGTGCTAGGGGAAGGAAATGCAGAAATCCCAAATTACTATTGTGCACTATGCTGATTAAACTAAAATAAATGAATAGGAGCACTGCTTAATAGTCTGATCGGTTGAGTCTCTGCTGCTAAGGCTACAGCACCGGGGTCCTCAGGTACAAGTAACCAGGTGCCAGCTCAGATTCTTCCAATGAGTCTGCACTTGCAATGGTTGCCGAGGGAACCAAACCATATAATGGTGTGGTCCAGAACTAAGCACGCACAAAAACTGCCCCCACCAATGGAATTCCCAGGAAAGGGGCTGGAAAGGCACTTTATTAATAGGATATTAATCACTGCCATGAGCCGCACTGCACAGTCTCGATTCTTCGCCAACAACGTGTGTGTGTGCGCGCGCGCAGATTAATTCCCATATCGACACACACATGCAAACTCCCGTGCATTTAAACATAAGTATTCTTGCGAGATGGGTTCGGAGAATATACTATCACAAAAAATCATTCTGTTTGTCCACAAACTCTACGTGTCTCTCCAGTATTCAAAAGCATTGTTCGAGGGCGTTAGAGTTGCTCTTACCATTGATGGTTAATCAAGCGTCAAACATGTCACCACAGTACCGGCAGTCAATGGGAAAGGATACCAAAGCTGTCGATGCATTTTGCCTTTCTGCCCTCCTTCAAAAAAAGCGTCAAGCGTGTGCTATCCTGAAGCCACATGCTCATAATACATTCAGGTTAATCAATTATTAATATATGGCGAAGCGGCATGTGATCTCTCATTTTAATTATTAGAAATACAACACAGGAATAGTGTGGCTAGCTGTTTCAAGCAGACCTACCAGGACGCAGGCTACTGCACTAGACCTGATGTTGCTGGCCTAGAGGGGCAGGCCAGAAGGGTACCACAGGCACTCCGCCCAGGTTCCCATTAAGGCGATAAGCTGTCCGGCCTGCTTCGGCTCCCCATGGAAGGCAGCGCCCCACTCCAGACCCACCCTTTATCTAAATACGCACAAGGCCGCACGGCAGGATAGCCGGCTAACCACGAGGGCGGCGAGCACGCCACTCCTGGTTTCACCTTTCATTTCGGCACTTGGGCTTCTTGACCGATTTCAAGCGACGATTTCGTCAGACTGATGATGCTTATTATTAGACCCGTCAGCAAATGTGTCGTAGGATAGGGTGCGTTTTAACATTTAGAGCTCACCATGGTAAAAGTGGCCCAATGGCCCCAGCGATAAAGTATCTCCCTAAAAGTGGACGCAGCTGCCCACGAAGCATAGCCCAAAGAGGCTTTGTCATATTGACGATAGTCCTCTTAAGGCGTCTCGACGGACCATCCGCTGTCTGCAAAACTGTGTCCATTCCCAAGAGAAACTCATGGCGGAGCCTGAGTAAACCGGGCCAGTTCCTTTCACAAAACGTCAAATGTGAGTCGGAAATGAGTTCTGTAGTCTACAACATGAATATTTTAACGAAGATATATTTAGAGACAAAAAAACATATGATCTAAATTACTCGTGTGCTATTTAGATCCCTTTTGAGACGATCAAAGGTGACAAGAACACAGAGATTAATGACACATCATACACCCCAAATAAACAGCTAAATGCCTCAGAGTACCTCAACAGCGTACACCCAACACATAGAGGCAGGCCTTCCCGGGGAATGGAGCCCCCGCCTCTCCTGAAATCTCAGACCCACGCTTGCTAGCCGGTTTACCGGCAGTCAGTATGGAACAGGCCCCGGACTCATCACTGACTCAGCGATACGGCTGCCCTAATTCTCAACGGTTCAATGAGTCAAAGGAGACACTCTCGCTCCGCATACCTCAGATAGTGTTGGTGTTAGTGAAGAGGAAAGATAAAACGACGTAGTCCCAAGATCAGCGTGTATCCCTGCACCTTCCCGACGCAGCTCTCAACAGCTTCTGCGCCGCTCAGACTCGTTTCGGTTTCGCGAGGGCGGAGCAAAGCGCTTCTCGCGCTACCGCGAGGATTCCTCGCCGTCCCCTTAGCGGTTTCGTAGTTATTATCTCTGCGCGACGTGCAGTGAAACTCGTATCGCTTATGAAAATATTCAAACACAAATTAGAGATTTCTACACATGTGACTGTCGGCTGTATAAATGCTGTTCTCTAAATGTTTGTTCGTCCTTTGCAATTAAGTAGAACGTGTGTCCAAAAACCATTTTATTCATTTGATGACTTACGAAATATCCGAGCCTAAAGTGTACATTACAGAAAATGGTTGTCTACGTCACTCCCTGGGTAGACTGATATTTTAACATACCTAGTTTAACTGAGCCTGCCAGTGGACGTGGGAACAAAGCTACTCAAATCTGAGCACAGAAGACATCCTGAAACTTAGGAAGTCTCAAGCCAATAAGATCTATTATAGGAATGAATCAAATCATAGCTGTATCAACATCAGTCATATTAGATCTAATGGAACACAGGAATGTATATAAAGGTAACAATGCCTTGGACTGTTGTGGCCTTATGGGGGAGGGAAGGCAGTCTTCCGGTATTAATTACGGACACCCTGCCATTATTAACCTTTGTCTTTCTCTATGCACCCCCGACAGCTGGCACATGGATTCCTTCCCAGCTCCTCCCTGTCCTTTCCCTGGGGTCATTGCTCTGTGTCCATGGACACCGTCTCCTCGGCAACCTGCAGCTCGGCCTCGTATTGCCGCTTCAGGTCCTTCAGGTAAATGCGCAGACTATCAGAATCCAGCCTGGAGTTTCTGGCAGTTTGCAGGAGGCGGGTGGCCAGGCGGTAGACTGCCCGCTGGCACAGAACCTCGGGGTCACTGTGCTGTTTGGCCTGGAAGTGGCAGAGGGAAACCACAGGACAGAGCTTTATATGATAGCAGTAAATATTCCTTAAAGGGCACATCAGTGAAGCAATGCTTCAGATTCCAGTATACTCTCCTCTTGAGGAAATGACAAAGCTATGGTGCCCAAGAATGTCTGCTGGTACTGTTGCCTCAGTTATTACATATTTAATGACATCTTTTCATCAGTATGGTTGCACTGTATTTGATTACATTATTTTCCAGAGGACAGCAGGGTTTGCCCCAGCACTTCAATGTCACACAAAGATTTGAAGTACTACTACTCATGTATGTTTATTGATACTGTAATTATTTCAATGCTTAGCTAATACTTTTATCCTAGATAATCCAGGGTTTTATCATTTCCCCAAGGGACATTTTTAAAGGTGCCGTAGTGGCTGTCACAGTGGCTTAGGATTTCCAGGGTTCAGATTCAGATTACTTTTATTATTCCAGAAGAAATTGCTTGATTGGTTGGCGTTTGATTCCCACCTAGCTTTGTGTTGTTGCTAGCTCTCTCCATGTTCCAACCACTTCAAAAGCATGTGATACAGGCAGATGGATTGCTGTTTCTATATTGCCTATCGTGTGTGTGCATGTGTATGAGAGCCCTGAGATAGGACAGGATCCAGGCTTACACTCGAGCCTGTATTCGATAAGTAGTAATACAAAATGGATGGGATGGACTGGTGGATATTTTCACCTTCACCTATTTAGGGAACATAAACAATTTGTATCACCTGTAGAGCTGCACAGTACTGGAAATTGTTCAAATACTGTGATGTGAACCTTTTGCGATAAATATTGTGGTCAGAGTGACACTATAAACTATTGTATAGCTAAACAGAACCTGTTATTATGATTACCAATGGATTCTGTCCAATAAGTTGGTGGTGTTGCAGTGAGCCGACAAATCAATTGCTCAATATCGTCTCTATGTAATATTTCTATGCAACAGAAGACAAATGCCGTTTGGAAAATAGTTCTTGTTCGTTTTTTTCCGCCTCACTTATTTTCCTCAATTTTTTCACAAACACGCCACACTATGAGTGAATCAAACAGCAAGAAGCGGAGAGCACATGCAGCGCTAATGCGAAAGCATTAGACAGTAGACTTTACACTGATTTTTAACATACTAGATAATCTTGAAAAGGAACAAATGGTTAAAAAGTGCAAATCTTGTTAAAAAGTTTTGTTTCTTGTGACAGAGTAAAAATATTTTTAGCAAAATGTCCAAATGGTTCCGTGAATCACATACTGCCCAAGCTGAATCTCAACCGAGCTAATGATTGCGATCCTTGTGATGTGACATTTGCATGTGCATAACATGCAATGTGGATATAAACATTGCACATTGTACAGGTCTACCTGGTAGCATTCACAATGAGAATCTCATCTGTAATACCCTATAGATACCTTCATAATGTATTATAATGGTCCATATAAGAACTATGAATGCTTTGTACTGCATTATGTTGATATGTATAGTTCATTATAGATGTGAGCTTGATAAAGCATTCATAATGCATAATAAACTTGGCTATGTGTTGTCTTTTTATAAATTTATAGTCATGTTTATAATGCTTTATTAATGCATTATAATGTGTTGTGAATGTGTTCATAGATTCTTATACACAGCATTCATAAAAAGTGATTGCAGACAATTCTGGATACATTTCTGGCTTCTATTATATAGGAAATCACAAGTCTAAAGGATAATATAGGAGATTAAGAACATACATACTAAGGCTGTAACAGTATATGTATTCATCGTGTACCGTTTGGTATGTAATTTTCGGTTCAGAACGCACTATGAGACAAAGATGTACAGTAATCGGCATAGGTGGAATTCACAAATAGATGTTCAACATGGAAAACAATATGCTTATTGTGGCTGTGAGTCGGTTACGGCTAATGCTGTTTACACTGAGTCATGATCGGTTTGGGGACATTTTGGTTTCCCAATAAATTACACCAACATCAGAGAAAGAGTAGTTGATTAGACAAAGACTGTCTGTTGCATATATTGCTGGAAGCACATTAAGAATGCTAATTCATTTGAGATCACATCATCTGAGTGTGTTTATTACAGGAGCAAGGTTAGTCTCCCCATGGCACTTAAGGTGATTTTGCCTTCAGAATGGGCTAAAAAAAAAAACATAATTACGGCTATAGGAGTGTTTATTGTTACAGATAACCACTCGGTAATAGAGAACACGAGATTTAGTTCATTATGTTTGTTATGATGATATATTTTATTTGTATATTTATTATACGGGCAGCAAAGTGGTGCCATAGTTAGCACCTCTGCGACCAGGGTTCAAGTTTCTACCGTGGCTCCATGTGTGTATTTTGCATGCTCTCCCCATGTAATTTGTAGGGCTTCCTCTGGTTACTGCGGTTCCCACCCCCCTAGTTTCCTGCCTCGTGTCCATAGCCTCCGGGATAGGCTCCGGACCCCCCTTTACCGCGCTGTATCAAAATTGCACCAAAACATAAACCTAGAACTGTGATTTGTATGGAACCGTCAATGGTGTGTACCATTACAGCCCTAAAACATACAATCCCCTGCCTTGGCCTTTCAGTACTAGTTAGAAATCTCTTTGGATTTAGTGAACTTTGCTCTTAATTTCTTTATGTAAACACAGACAACACTTTGACCTTGCAAAGCCTCCTTGCCAGTGGTGGGTGCTAATTACCTTGGTACTTGTTTTGATATTGTGCCCGGTAGTGTTAGTTGTACATTTATTTATGGCTGCTGCGTATAAAAAAGGTACAGCAGCAAGGAGATATGACATGACTTTCAGGTTACAAATCCATGCCCTTATTATTGTTTATTAAATTAAGGTGGAATTACTGAAAAGCCCTGGCTGAACATGCAATCAGTTATTTTGCCCTTCCCGAAAGTAATCTTCTACAGTCATATTACTATATTAATATCCAGGCTAAATGTAGTTTTATCTGTCACCATATATCTATATATATTTGTAGCTGAGGAATCTTTGTCAAAGCTGCTGTAATCAGTAAGTTGTTTACTGCAGTATTTCATTTATTTGACCTTGCTAACAGGATAACCTTATTGAGTTCTGATGCAATAGCATGCAAAAAAATGTTGCAGGGCCCATATGCCCAGTGTTGTCTTGTGGAAATATTTGAATTGTTTTGTGGAAATATTTGAACAACTAAAGCCACAGTCAAATCATGCTATCAATACCCCTAGTTATCGTTAATGCTCACACCTGATAGTACCTTTCATTTAAACAAGCGGCAGCGGATTTCGGGAGTGCTTACCCACAGCTGCTGGCTGACTCTTGAGGCAACCTGCCTAGCTTCCTGGATTACAGACAGTGGCAATGCAGTTATTTCTGCTGCCCTCAGACCTGCAATTTTCACAGTTCATTACATCCTCTATCGGCATGAAATGCAGCCCTTGCACACTTAATAATTAAATGCCACAACCAGGTCATCGGTTCTGATTCATCTTCCAGTAATTAGACAGACACAGCTAGTAAGTCTGTGTTCTCACATTGTTTCACAGATGCTGATGGATGGCTATGTGGCAGCTGACAAGTTGTAACAGTACCATAGTTCCTTTCTTCTGAGCAGCCCCGGCTAAGTGTGTAGGTGTAAATGACGGTCTCGGCGTCAGAGCTGGAGGATCGGGTGTGTTGGACTTCCATGTGCTGATTCTCCACATTGGGGTAGAGCGTCTCCAGATGGCACAGCTCCAGGAAGTGGGTGGCAAAGAGTGTGAATGCCTGCAGGGCGGGGGTTGGGGGGGTGTGGTATATTTCTCACTCACGTCAGCCTGGCAAGAACTGAAGCTCCATTGCTGACTCTCAGTTTGGCAGTGGAAACCAATGAACGGGTAAAAATGAAAACTTATATATAGGAGGACTACAACTAAAGTTAATGAGAGTAAAAACCTGAATAAATACTAAAGTGAGCAAAAAAATGGATTACAGATCAACCTTATTTTTGTGTATTCAGGAAGATATTAGCAGTTTTAATGAATAACGTTTTTTTATATGACAAATGGTAAGCACATTCAATTTAAATATTAATATAAGAAAATGTATTAAGCTATAAATACCAAGATATTGAACTTTTTGTAGATTTAACTACAAAAGCAAACCTACAGAGCGGACATCAGAGCAGTTCTGTACCTTGCAGTTGAGTAGGTACTCGCAGACTGAGTGGCAGATGCCGACCCCCTCCTCAGCACTGGTGCCCCTCCCCAGCTCATCTATGATGACGAGAGATCGGTCACTCACGTTGTGGATTATATATGAGATCTGAAATGTACACAGAAACAGTTATAGTTTCCATCACTGAAACAAATGAAGTCATGAAATCTTTCTGTAGGAATTAGTATAGTAATTAATACTATGTGAGCGTAACATACTGAATTTGATTTTGTGTAATACACATTTTGAATAATATTAAGAGGTTAAATTTCACTTTTATTTGACGTTTCATTTCCTTATTGTCACTGTTTTGTGTAACCTAAAACACAGGCATGTGCACCTCCTTCATTTCCACCATGAAGGTGGAGGAATTTGTCTCGAAGTCATCGTCCACTCCTATCCTGGTGAATATCTGGTCTGCTATTCGGAATGAGGCATACTCAGCAGGAACAAAGGAGCCTGAGAGAACATGAAACTGCTTTTGTAGTTTACAGCCTATAGGATCCGACATTAATATGCTAAACTGAGAGTTTAACAAACAACTAAAAATATCATTTAGAAACAACGTATACATAAAAATGCCTTGTGTCCAAATTGCTTTTAAAGATTGTGTAAGGTCTGAACTTTCCATACCTATCTGAGCCATGATTTGGCACAGCGCCACCTGCTTTAAGTAAGTGGACTTGCCACTCATGTTGGGCCCGGTGATAATGACAAAGTTGGTACCCTCTGAAATGTAGCTGTTATTGGAGACTGGCTGCTGGCCAGAGATACGCTCCAGGATGGGGTGTCGGCCCTGCTTGATTGCCAAAGTGTCTGTGAACTCAGGACGCACTGGAATGCAGGACAGAAACGATAGCAGCGAGACCTGCTCTATTTCAGTGCTTTGATTTTGCCTGGATACTGCACAGGAAACCAAGCATTTCTACAACAAAGAACACACTGCTATGTCTCCTCATAGTCAAAATGTTAAGCAATCATTTCATCTTCTTTCAATTATATATATTGCATGAACAGATACGGACGCATTTGATATTAACATGCTGCATGGTGTTTGAAGATCATTTTTGTGCAATATCATCATGCTGAACCGTATCTGTGTGAAGACACGCTCAGTTCTTATGCTACGTGCTGGAGTTCAGCTTGGGAAGATGGCTGGTGTGGGGGTCAGGGAAGAAGTAGTCAAACGAACTGCAGAAGCACCACAGGGCTGAGCCAGCCCAAGTATAATTAGCCTGGCAACGGGAGCTGGGCATTTTTTCTGTGGAAATGACAGCTAAAAGGAGAAAGTGCTGAGTGTTAGGCTACTACTATTATGAAATGGCTAATTAAAGCCATTATGAAATGGCTAATTAAAGGAAATCATAATATGCCATTTATTTTTTTGCAAATATTCTCAGTTAAGCCCTGAACTGCTTTTAAGGATAGAGAGCTAAGGCTTAGAAATACTTTAAAGGTTTCACTGTGGCAAGGAAAGTTATTTAACTTCCTCCATTTACCAGTGAACTTTGTGCCCCGGAATGAATGAAGCTGAACTGTTACTGATTGTCAGTTTTATGGTTTTACCAAAAGTGGTAATTCAACTGTAGAAATAATTTATATCTCTTACCTGTTAAAACTTTAAATGGGATTTTAGTTGCTAGTTATTTATTTTTGGCATGAATAGTCCCAACAACCCCCTGATGACAAATTATGTAAGCATAATGGTTGCCAGGTATTGGGCAGGATGCAGAATTGCACTGTCAGCTTGTGGCATGTGTGATTTAGTGTGCCAGGTATTACTTGCCGTAATCAGAGACAGTGCAAACGTTGGCCAACGACAACAGCATGTCCAGCATGGAGACGGCATCGGACAGCTTGTAAAGGCAGTGCACATGCTCATGGACTGCACTCAGCAGCTGGCAGACCACCCTAGGAGAAGAGGGGTTCAGAACAATACTACAGAGGCCAGATCCACCATAATACCTGTATACCAGCCCCCATAGAAGCCCAGGTCACTGCAGCCCCAGCACAGAATAGAATACGCATGTGTGTGAGTTCAGGATGGCCTCCTTCTCAGGCTTTTTCAGAGGCAAAAGCGTTTGGTGACTGCGTGCCAAAGCTTTGTCTTAGAAATTAAGATTTTTAAAAACATTTAGGACAAGGGATAAACAATTGCTACAAGTACAGAAAATTGTCACACTTTACTACAGTGGTTCCCAACCCAGTCCTCAGGGACCCCAGACAGTCCACATTTTTGCTCCCTCCCAGCTCCCAGCCAATCAAGAACAAGGGGCTGGTACACCAGGTACAGGTGTTGGGAGCTGGGAGGGAGCAAAAATGTGGACTGTCTGGGGTCCCTGAGGACTGGGTTGGGAACCACTGCTTTACTATGTTCTGAACAAATATTAAGAGAAAAAATATTTTAAATAACGATTTGATGTGAGTTTAAGAATACAGTAGTGAGTTTTTCCTACATACCTGATGAGAAAAGGTTTGAAAATGCACATGGCCCAGCATCAAAAACTCATTATCTGCGTAAGACTTGAGTGCAAACAATGTTTAGTTGCTGTTAACTCACACATAGGACATGTGGAATATTTCCCTCAGTGCTTCTTCACAGTGGTCATTCATTTTGATGAGGTCTGCAGTGGTGAAACTGTAGTTGTTCCGGTGCTTTGTAACCTTGTGCAAAAACATCAACCACAAACTCAAAATTAAATTCCAGTTTTATCTAGATTTTGCATTACAGTTGGTAATGTGACAGAGTAAACTGAGTAAACACTGTTAAAGGCATATATGTGCTCAATATATTCCTGCACTGTCTTTGAAAAGGTATTACTTTTTTAAGGAAAGTGGTTTATCATTTTAAATTGGGTGTCGATTTCAGTGTTCTGGGAGGTAGCAGAAGAGTATGAGATCAGTGTGGCATACTGCAGGACAGCATGTAACAGATCTAAAGAAGACTAAGCCTGAGGGCATTAAGTATTTAGCACAATCAAGCCAAGCAGCCATTGCACTAAAATTAATTCAGGGTTAACCTGAAGAATACTTCGAATTAGCAGGTACTGTATGTACAGTAAGGCTTGGTACTCCTAACATATGATGTCCTCACAGGTAACCGGCTTCACCTTGATGAATTCTGCTGGAAGCTGTCCGCCAGGCAGGGCCACCCCCTCCAGCTTAATCTGAACAAAGAAACCACGGGCTGCGCTGAAACTTGTTCGCAGAGGCAATCCGTGTCTCTCCCCCATGTCTGCCACAAGTCCTGAATATGACGATCACAGTCACTCTTTGCCCCCAGATCCGTTTGTAAAAATCCCATTGACTCAGTTTTTGACAGCTAATGTTTCACCTGCAATGTCATCCACAATCTCGGTGTAGGCTCGACGAGCAATGTCCAAGAACTCATTGATGTTAGGCCGCACAGCATAGCACTTCTGGGTGCGCATATTAAGGCTGCCTTTTGTGTAGCTAATGTCATCGTTTATTACAGTCTTGATCTGTTCCAGGATGCTGTCAAACCTGAAAAAGGTATTTTGAATGGGAGTGCCACATAACTCAGGTTCAAGGTATGTTAGGAGTGCTATGTAATTTATGTAACCTAATAAATATTCTTTTTCAGCTGACTGATTTATAAAAATTTACAGATGATAATCATGTAACAAATCTAAGATATTATTTTAAATACAATGGTAAGGAGTTGCCGACTGCCAAGGAATTCACCATATTGACAGCTGGGACACATGGGCGTAAATCCCGGGGGGGACGGAGGGGACATGTCCCCCCCAATCCGAGGGTTGTCCCCCACAAAAAAAAATATATATAAAAAAATTGCACTATCTATTGTGAAAAATATATGTATGTATACCTAAAATAATTCTGTAAGTAGAAAAAAAAACCCCTTCAAAAATTAAATGAAAGTTGTACAGTTAAATGAAATTTACGCCCATGCTGGGACACAGAATCACTGTGGCAGCCTATTACCTGCTGTCCTCCAAGGAGCTGTAGTAGGCCTTAAGCAGGGCTGTCTGACAGGTCTTCAGCACTCCCTGTCTCCACAGTCAACACTGTTAATTCACACTGACTAACTGTGACGTAGCTTGGCGTTAACACAACATTACCGCTTACAGGGATGCCAAACACCTCCCTCTCATATGAATAACTGAACTCTAATACTGAGCGTGAAGTAATATATGAAAAAAGGCAGATAATACAAAACAATGTTCAAACCACATTTTTTGTCTACTCTAAAATGTCATAACCAATACAGTGTAAAACATTCTTTGAATTTGTATCTATTCTACTGATATTAGTATTATAGAACACATAATGATGTATTCTGGTCAATGTTACAGTCTTATGAACAACTGTGCAATGAGATGTAATGGCCAGTTGATGAGACATTTCCCTCTGTATGCTGTTACCTTAAGTGGTGCGACCAGCTCCAGCGTGTGTTTTAGCTGAATCACATGCACAATCTTCATCTCTGCCACCTGAACCTGCCTCAAGAACAGGAATATCTGACATAAAGAAGCTCAGAAATGTAGATGAGGTACCTCTACACACTAATATTGTTAATGGCAAAAGACCTTTGCTGGCAATGATGAATAGATCTAGTTTATAGTTTTCATTGGTATTTAGATACTGCTTGGCAAAATGTTACATTCCTGATAACCGCACCACTCCACAACTGTTCAAACAGTATCTAGACACGTTAACCATTGTTACCGTTTCCTGTTTGGGGATCTGTACTAAAACAGAGAGCAGCTGGTCTATGTCCAGGAAGTGTCCAATTGCTACAAGTCAAAAGGACATAACATTCAGGCAAAATGTCAGTTGAGTGAAGTGCACACAATCAAAGCCGAGTTTAAAAACTCCCATATAATTCAGCTGTAAAACTGTACACAGACGTTAAAATGGGAGCATTATAAATCTGGTATTGAATCATTGCAGTTTGTTGATGAGAATACTACCATAAATGTTCATACATGACCTATGGTGTGCTGTGTACCTACAAACAAGTAACTTTACAGGTACTGCTGTAATAAAAGCAATTCTTAATTTAATAAAAAAACATTGCATAATTTAACACTGAGGCAGAAACTAGCTGTTAGATTGACGTGCAAGTCCTGACCACTCTTCATGCCGAAGAAGAGTTTCTCATCTCGCAGCAGCTCCTGCACGGCATCCAGCCGAGTGTTGATGCTGTCAACATCCACCAGTGGCTCCAGGATGTTAGAGCGCAGGCGCCGGCCTCCACCCGGGGTTTTAGTGTAGTTCAGGACCCCCAGCAAGGTGTACTCACTCCTATCACACACACACAGCATGGACTAATCTCACTGCAGTTACTTATCTATAAATACATGGGTTCTCAAATGTTTCAGCCCCCAACCCCCAAAATAATGGTACCAGTGACTCATGATCCCCATTTTGCGGACCTGGGGTCTCCCCCCCCCCCATTAGATTTCGCCGTTCGCCATCCAAGGGGGTCTGCCACGGTACAATTGATTTATCCCAATAGACCGGTTATGTTTACCATGTAATTTTTTCACATTTTTAATTTTCAATTTGCATACTCAGGAAATCATCTCATGACCCCCATATGACAGACATGACATAGAATATGACAGTCAGGACAACCACTTCTAAAACTCTCATTTAGTTATAAAAATAGCCTTTCTCTGCTTTCGCTATCTGTAATACGTACGCCTCCCCAGCAATAACCACACAGCTAACCCACACCCATGTGCATGGTGACTACTTTCAGATTCAGCTTTGTTATTTTACAGTGCAGTGTAGGGTGTGACCTATTGGGTTATGGACTCCATACTATGTGTTTTATAACAAGCCCTTACCAATATACCTATTAATTTATGAAGTACCATTCTTGACTAAAGCCTCTGGTAGTCTTTATGGCCCCCCTATATGCAAAGCCAACACCTCTAATTTAGAGAAAATAACCCACATTTGTCATTTTGGGTAAAATGCACAGTCCACTGACTTGCAAGAAACTGCTGAATCATTATGAGGCACTGAGCAGCTGAATGACAGCACAGGTATCCTGATATTTTTTTCATAAGCAACACGTCAGTAATTGACAGACCATTTAAGCAGCTGGACTGAAATGGCAAGACGATGGCAAGTAAAGTAGAAAAGGAAGCCAGGTTTTTTGTGTACTTTGCTTGTTGCCTTTAGTATCTGTTATTTTATTTACTGTATTTTATTGTCCCATTAACTGTGCCTGTCTCTCCCCACAAATTACCACATAATCTTAAATATGCTCTTGGTCAGTTTCCCCCCAGTTTCTTCACATATTTTTATTATCTGCCCATCATTTTTCACAGTTTGACACCTAACCTGTGGTTTCTGTTGTTGATAACCAGTTCTAGATTGCAGGCAGAAGTGGAGTCAATCATGGCTGTCTGCTCGCTGCCTTTGAAGCTCACTTTTAGAGACTTGGGTGCATATATGGAATTCTGAACAAACTCAAAGTATTTCAACAGAGCAGAGGCAGCAGCCAGGCAGTAGTATCTAAAAAATAAAAAAAGTGATGACATGACAACGCATACCTATTGAAAAGCAAACTGAATTCAGCAACAAAGACAAAGACTCTGTCCCTGGTGTCCTACCCTATCCAAAATGGCACATACGTCTTAGTCTGTGTAATTGCCCATATCTGTGAACATACTTTGCTTGCACCTCCATCAAGACAGTGCTGAATTCAGGTGCACACAACTGTTGAATGTACTCCAGCCCCTTCTTCTCATTGAAATACTTTCTCTGGATGGCGGTGAAGGCTGCAGCCTGGTAATGTAGAGGGGAGACAGAATTGTGTGCAGGTCTCATTAGCAATTTTAGCATGTGTGGGGGGGGGGCATAGTGTGCTGCTTTAGAACCTGAATATTTCTCATTCAAAGCCCTGGAGACCCCCTGCTTTACTCCTAAGCAAATTGATTTAATAAAGCATAAATATGTAAAACTGTACGCTGATTTTGATAAAAAGATTCACCTAAGCAGAAAATACTAGGGTTAATGTTTTCCAGAAACTGCTGAGAAGACACACAAAATAGTTTAAGGTAGAAAGCACATCTAAAGGCAGCTGTGAGGAGCCACCCACAGTCTTTCTTGATGTTGACAGGAAAAGCAAGACTAGACTCATTTCTCTTGCAACAGCATTCATGTGCCTCTACCTGGAAGTTTTCAGTGAGGAGGCTGTAAAGTTTAGTTCCTTTGCCCTTCTCCTTTGCAGTGTCTGGCATCAGTATTTCCAAGGGGCTCTGAATGTGCAGCTTGGTGATAACCTGCCAATATGCAGCAGAACTTAAACCTCATATTGCCAAACCATTGTGACAGATCACAGGTCATACTTCACATAATCGCTATATCTGATACCTCATTAATAAATCATGTTATTAATTCATCTTATTGATTCAAGTAAGATGGTTAAATCAATTTGGACATTACAGCTCAGCTGCACTGTATTGCCGAAGCCTTATTCTGATGCTAATAAGAAACATATCTAGTCTTTTTGACTGATTGTTACTTTGGCATAGGACCCAGTGTCAGCGAACTGAGACAGGATGAGCTCAGGGAACTTCAGGTTGATACTGGCCATGCCGATCTCGCCGCGCGCCAGGCCTCGCCCCTCAACCACTGCCACGATCACAGAGGCAACAGCACTAGAAGCAGCTGAAGAGCAGGTGGTCTCTGTGGAGAATACACACACGTACATACATCAAGCTTACTTATGCCATAAAGGCAAACTCACATCATTCATCATATGTTGCAATGAGTATCATTTCTCTGGACCAATAAAGGACCAAGTTCTTGCAACCTAGTGAGGCATTTTCAGATTTTCCTCATGATTTTTGACTAGATCACAGCATAAGAAATAACTTTTCCAAAGTTATGAGCTAATTAAGCATATCTGAAAGCTCTGATTTAGAAGGCAGCATCATACCGGTATGGTCAGCATGCGGAGTCCGTATATTAAGCACGCCCCTGGCCCCAGTGGAGCATGGGGTCTTGCGTAACCGTGGGGTCCCCCTGCTCCAGACAGAAGAGCCACTACGGGCTGAGACGAGGGCAGACGAGCTAATCCTGCCGGTGTTCGAACTCAGGTCCCCTTGGTAAGAGTCTCAAACACAAAACACCAGATTCACTCATCACTGGCATTGTGCGGATTACGGAGCCATGTTCTTTAGTCTGATATTAACATCTGCGTAAATACTAAAAGCATTAAGTAAAGTTGTACTACTTAAAAGTGAGAGGATCAAGTTTGAGGAAGGACCAGGAAGGACCTCCTGCCGTTTGCAGCATTACCCCAGAGATTCAGCTAACATTAATCATGGGATAGTGTGATAAAACTCAGTTCAGTGAATGCAAAAATGTATTACACCTTTCGAGGCCTGTGGCCCCTGAAAGTCTCTGTTCGTGCTCGCAGTCGTCGAGTCATGCAGAGATGAAGTCGACGTCCACGACCTCAGGCTCGTCTGGGAAGATCCGCCGGGCCGCGGCCAAGGGGACGCGCTGCTCCGGCAGGACACGGAACTGTCACCTGCGCTCACCTCCTCTGTACTGCTGCGGAGCATTTTGCGTTACTCTGAAACTGCGGCAGCGCGTATGTAGAAAATAAAACGGCTCTCACTCCCGACGGGTTACTAAAAACCGCCGCCCTGCCAGCGCTTCTCCAGCCCGGTTTCCCGCCGCTTTGTACTGTGGCTCGTGTCACATCCTCGCGACCTCTGTCAGGTACCAGCGCTCTGATTGGATGAGCGCATTTACTATTTTGTGCGCCGTCATTTACGATGATTTAAACGTTCTTGCAGCATCATGCTGTAATGTGACTCAAAAAGCTGGGTGCAGCAGATTGACCATGTTTTCTTGAAAATGACCAGCGCAAGCGCAATATCTTAAAAAGGCACAATAAAAGTTAGCTACCGGCCAAGTATTTTGCATTTTGCTATGGATTAAAAACCGATTCACCGTCAGAAAACACCAATAATAATAAAAATGTAATAATAATTATTATTTTAAAAATACAAGAATATGTATGTGTATTGTACATTTATCTTTACCATATTTATTCTTTACCATCATGTCTCCGTAAGCCCCACACACTTTTGCCTGAATGATTTTAAGCCATACGCCATGAGAGATGCATTTCTTTTCATCATTAAAAATTTCAAAGTATTTAATAATTCTAATTTATCCATTCTGTTTTTCTAAATTAACGATATGAATGAAAAACGCGCCCTCTAGCGGAGAAATAATTTTTAACGGGAATGTCGCATGATATAACGTCAGCAAACAAGATGGCGGCGCTCTCAGATGGCAAAGAAGAAGCACGTTATTTTGTTAGAGTTATAGAAAAAAATGATGGTTCGTGTTTACATATGAAGCAGTGCAGTGAAGGGGATGTAGGCTGTGTGGTGTGGGATGCTGCCATTGTTCTCGCGAAATATTTAGAAACGAAAGCTTTCTGGGATCCCGATGCCGGAACAAACCTATGGTCCGGCAAAACTGTCTTAGAGCTTGGAGCCGGGACTGGAGTGGTTGGCCTCATGGCAGCAACATTGGGGTCGGTTGAGATAACTATATAAAGAAAGCTTATTTCTATGGCAACATACAGTTGTTAAATGTATCGTGGTATATGCATATTTTGCTAGATTGTGATGCCATGGTGTTTTATTATGATTTCTGTGTTGCTTAAATGTTGTTAGTGGCCGCACTCCGTTGCACATACTAGGTCATACACTACCGAGTGCTGGTAATTTAACATGGCTCCGTTCTGCCTGTTTAAGGGCGAACGTCACTGTGACAGACCTGGAAGAATTACAACATCTGCTCCACGTAAACATCCGGGACAACCAATGTTTGGTCAGGCATGGCTCGATTGTACCCAAGGTACTAAAATGGTTTGTACTCAGTCTCACCTGATTATATATTTTTTTTAAATCTTCTCATCCCACACAATAACCAGAAGTGTTTGTAATGTATGTTACTCTGATTCAGTTTTAGATTATAAGGAAGACACATTATGAGAAGCACAGATAAAAATAATTTTAACTCTAAATCATGTTGTATATGTCCAGTTAATTGTAGCTTACAATTATTCAAAGTAAATGCTTGCTAAATGCGCACCTTTGCTTTTAAAGGGGAGAAGATGTAACTGAGTTTTTACCACACCCTGACTTCATTCTGATGGCAGATTGCATTTATTACGAACAGGTATTGTATCCGTGCCTGCTTGCAAGCTGAACCACTTCTTTGAAGTATATACATGTTTATCAGGATGATAAGATGCATTCCAGTGTTTTCGAAATCAAGTTATTAGGCAATATTAAGAATGCAGTGCTGTGACCTTATCTTGTTTTTTGCAGATTCAAGTATACCATTTTTTAACATTTTCTTTGACCCTAGAGATTATTGAATCCCCAACCAAAGTTTGAATCTATGCTCTTAAACAATAACACTTACACACTGCCCATGTGCTCTTAGTCTGTGGAGCCTCTGGTTAAGACTCTGAGGGATTTGGCTGGACCCGATACTAGTGTCATTTGTTCCTATGAGCAACGTACCACGGGGCACAATGCAGAGGTTGAGAAGAAATTCTTCCAGGTAAGAAGTAAATGTCCACTTTGTCCTGGGGAAGTATCGTGCATTACAAACCATTACCCACAAATGGCATGTCGGACGTTTATCGTGTGGTAGAAATATGCAGTTTCTTTTGGCTGCTTCGTGCTGACATCTTCTGATCAATTTTGACCAGCTGCTTCTGCAAGACTTCCAGTCCAAGGAGATTCCACTGGAGCAGCAGGACCCAGAGTTCAGCAGCCCCGATATTCACATCCTCCACATCCGTCTGAGGGCCTGAAGGTTTAGCCAGCAGCTGTGGTGCTGCATCTGAGCCAGGCAAACTGTAAACCGAAATGTTACACAAAATGTTATTTTGTGTGAGATGTGAATCATTTTGAACTTTTTAGTCTTCAACATTTTTTGAATGATACACATTTTTATAACTTTATGAATACCATCCAATATTAATCTAAGACTACTACTGGTGGCATAACCGGGCCGTGGTATGAGTTCTTTGGGTATGAAATTGAGTGTGATTTTCATACAAACTTTTGTAAAGCGATGAAATTGCAGCACTTTTTACATTAAAGGTGAATTGTCAAAATGTTTGGTTCATTTCCTTCACCTAGTTTACATTGGGTGGTGTGTACTGGGCATCCTTCTGTGAGTAAATTATTTGCACTGTGGCCCTTTTAGCTTACTTTCATAATGGCACTGCTTGTTTTGCACACATGGTACTTGTGCTTTTCAGTAAAACAGCAATGAATACCATCAGTCACTAGAGGGCAGTAGTGGTTTACAAACAGCCACGTTGCTTAAAGTAGAACACGGAAGAAGACTGGGTAGCACAGTTGTTCACACCTCCTGGGTTGGGAGTTTTCATGTTCTCCCTTTGTCACATGGGTTTCCAAAGAAGTGCAAGTTAGGCTGAAGTTTTTGTGCGTGCCTGCTGCTTGCGATGGACTGGCTTAGGTGTACCCCAGCCCTGTGTCCTGTGTCTTGTGCTTCCTGGAAATAGCTCCAGGACCCAGGACAAGGAGAAGTGGGTAGAAGATTAATGGATTTGCATATTGCAGTTACAATCTATTATCATAGTAAAGACATTCGTTCAGCAAATGAACTGAAGATGCAAATCCCCCAATTAGGGGAATGTCTTTCATTTCCAGTAAGTAAGACACTGGCAAAATTGATTATTGCTCCTGATTTTTTTCATTGATGCGAGTTCTTTTTGAAAAAATCTTAAGGATTATATTGGAAGTTGGTTTATTGCTGGCATTACATATGCAGGTATCGCTGTGCTAATAATCTATTTTTAGAACATAGATGATCTTTTTCCAATACAGCATTGGTAATATTAGTATGCACTGTTTGAAAATTTGGTTACAAATCCATCCATCCATTTTCTGAAACCGCTTATCTTATTCAGGGTCATGGGGGTCTGGAGCCTATCCTGGAGGGTACGGGCGCAGGGCAGGGAACAACCCAGGATGGGGCACCAAGCCATCGCAGGGCACAGTCACACCATTCACTCACACACCATTCACTCCCACACGCACGCCTTGTTTATCGATAGACGTATTAAAGAATATTTAAACAAGGGATAAAAATATACAACTTTCAGTTTAGTGTATTGAAAGCCATCTGATTGGAAATACAGGAGAAGCTAGAACCCAAAGTGGTTGTTATATAAATATCTCCACACAAAGAGACTCGTTCATTTTTACCAAAGTTCCACTCTGGTGCATTCCAAAGTCCCACTCGCGTCCTGTGACAAGTGACGGCACCCTTGGATGAGTCTTTCCCGAGATAAAGGCGCTCGTCTTGTTTTGCTAAAACTTTCAGGAAGTCCTGGCCTTTTGTGCATGCTGCTGTACCCCACTGTGGGGTCCTTGTGGACCAGGAGGTAAATTACACCATGGCTCATACATAAATCATAACTCACATGCTTCCCAGTATTGCGTCCCCTGCTTTTCTCTGTTTACACCAGGAGTGGGGAACCTGTTCCATGGAGGGCTGAAGTGGGTGTGGGTCTGGGATGATCTCTCAATTAGCCAATAAAAAAAAACAGTGGTTCTCAACTGCAATCCTGGGGACCCACTGTTATTGGCTGATTGGGAGGTCATCCCAAAAACCTGCACCCACACCGGCCCTCCATGGAATAGGTTCCCCACCCATGGTTGACACAGTAAGCCTGGCACACTGGCCACTGCTGGTTTCTCCACCTTCCCACACGGGGAGGGATTGAACACGGTGGCCACAAAGTGACAGATCAAAGCTGAGGGGCTCCTGTGCACAAAGACATCAGTCTGCCTGTCCCCTTTGATCTCAGGAAGGGAGTGGACGGGCCTGTTTCCGGACAGCAGGGATTCTGCTTGTTTGTTTGGCCCCAATCCGGTCCTCGGGGACCGACAGACAGTTTATATTTTTGCTCCCCCCCAGCTCTTACTGGGCTCTGGCAGTTCAGAGGAAGCAAAGACAAGGACCGACCCGAGGACCGGATTGGGAAACACTGCTCTAAAGCATCGTCTGGACTGCACTGTTGTTCTGTCACAATAGGTCACAAAAATTGTGGGACATCACAGATGACATTTTTAGCATCTTGCAGCCCCACCCATTCTGATGCTCAGATATTACATTTCATTGAAATAAGTACAAACATGCAAACCAAGGTCACATGGCTCCATTTAAGCATTGAGCAAACGACTAACTCAATATGGGAAAACACAGTAAACGAGCGACACGCAAAAAACGTCCCGCCAGTGTGGTACCTTGCAAAGAATCCCGAGCCAATTAAATTAGCTGCAGAAGTTAAAGGGCCAAACCGCCCCTTTGTCACATGTTCCATGAGTGACTGCACCTCGCCCTGGCCTGCTGCCTAGTGAGAGCAGTGCGATGGCTTCCTGGCCTCCTTCTCCACTGTCAAACACAGGAAGTCACACAGGCAGGCAACACGTTAGCTCCTTATTACACCATCTCATACGACCTGTATCAGCATTTAGCCACATTGTTCCATATTGTCGACTAGCACAGTTTGTAGTTACACCTGTTTGCACAGCTGGGTATGTTACTGAAGCAAGTTAAGAAATTGAATCTCAAAGTTACACCTGTAAGGGCCTGATAGGACTGTAACCTGCGACCTTGTGAGCCATAAACGCATTTCTTTAAGCAGGAGCAGTGAATAGCTTCCGTGTTTTCAAGGTTTTCAAGGACGATGGCTGGGCCTGGTGTTATGAGGGGGCACCATGTGATAACTTGGTGTGGAGGCCACATTGTCCTCTTTCACTCTGTCCTCCTCTCAAAGCCGCAAGCCGGCATTTCCGTTCACCCCTAACCCTCCCCCCATCTCATATGATGCCCCCTTCCAGACCAATAAGCCCCCAGGCAGTAACAGGTGTGCGCTGGCAGGATATCAGCTCTATAATCCTTCCCCTAGACGGACTTCCTACTTGGCCTGACGTTCTTGAATCCCTACTCCGCTCATATTTGTCCATATGAGGGGGAGGGCGACTGACGCAGTAATAAGGCCTGAGATTAATTGCCGTTTGTTGGCTTTAACTATAAATAGCAACGGCGGCTCATTTGAGCTAATTATCCCCCACGCCCTGCTCTCTCTGTATTCATAGCGCTGCTGCCCTATTAAGGATCCCAGTGGTAGATTACATTGCAATTCCCCAACTGCTGTGGTGAGGATACGCTTAGTCTAATTGTTTTAGCACAAAGCTGGTATTGAGCCCCCCTGCCCTGCACCCACCATGCACCCCTGCCCCACCAACTGGGTGTTTGTGGGAAAAAGGAAGGGAGTGCTGGCAAAATAAGCACAGTAATGGTGCCGCTCCCAACGCCAAAGTTTGTATTATCTCCATTGTCCCAGAGCAGGACTGGGCAGCTCCAAACTTGTCTTGGCGGATTAACAGCACCTGCTGAAAGTCCTTTAAAGATGAGTCTCAGCAAAATCCTATTCTGCAGCTGACATGGGAAGGCAGCTTATTGGTATATTTTCTTGGTCAGCAGGTGGCGCTATATATACAAATTTAGAGCGTTAGAAACTCATCTAAGTCTATTTGTATGTTTGGAGGAGTACTCTAATATGTCTTACAGCATACGCCATATACCACACTCTTTAGCACGCAACGTAAATGAGCGGTGACAGCTCACTCGCTTTCTGACTGGAAAATGTTGCAGGTCATATGACTATTCACTTCCCCAACACTGGTTAGTGCAAGAAACCACAACATCCTCCCTCACACAGATCTTCTGAAAGGGACCGTGTTCCCTGCTGCCGTGAGGGGCGGCGTTCACCGCTCAGTGGCATAAATTCACTCTTAAAAATATTGACCACATTTTGCTCTGCAAAATGTACCAGTTGCGGCATAATGAGTATAGGCCTCCCGTCGCTAATGCGACATGGAGATTTTTGAATGGCAGGCTGCCTAATTGTCCCCCACTTGGCTTAAGTGCCGTCCTATTGGTGGGCGGTGACATCATGGGGCAAGCAGGAAGAATGGAGCGTGAACGCTATGTTCAGTGCATTGTTGGGTAAAAAAGGGCCCGGATGACACTGGGGCCTCCGCAGACACGCATGCGCACATGCACACACACTCACACACGCACTGGGAGGAAGTGGTCTGTAGGTTGTCAGATTCCTTCCTTAAATGTAGACCATGTTTAATTTATAAAGTCACCATATTTTAAGATATATTGTAAGTAATTATATATACACAAAAAGAATACATAATACAAATATATTCATATATATGCAATAGACATTCATACCCTAGGGATTTATATACATACACATCCACATACAATCCCGTTTCCAAAAAAAGTTGGGACGCTGTGTGAATTATAAATAAAAATAGGATGCATACCCATGCATTCCACCTATATTTAATTGGAAATAGAACAAAGACATCAAATCAAAAGTTGAAACTGAGAAATGCTATTGTTCTATGACAAATATATGCTCAATTTGAATTTCATGCCAGCAACACGTTTAAAAAAAGCTGGAACGGGGCATCAAAAGGCTGGAAAAGTTGTATAATACTAAAACAAATCACCTGGTTCAATATTTCACAGCTAATTAGGTTAATTGCTAACAGGTCAATAAGGTGATTGGGTACTTTAGGATCACTAACCCTCTGCCCATGGACATGCATAGCTGAGGGTTCCGGGTTCGAGAGGCGGCGCACTGTTCCAGGCGGCGGTCATGTGAAAACAAATGACAAGTTTTCTCCTCTCAGATACAATCTTGTATTAGCTTTGTAAGAAACAGACAATGACACAAATGCAGGGGTTGCTCTGTATGTGTAGTCACACATAATTGCATTGATGACAGAAGTTTAGGGAAAATAAATAAATGGAGTGACAGAAGAGGATCTATTGCCTGGTTGGTTTGTAATCTGAAACCAGCTGTCCATGATCTCCCAAAAGTGACATCCGCTACTGTCACCAGAGCAGGGGGAAAACGTTAATCTGACCCCTATTGAATCTTCCCTCTTTTCATTCTCAGAGAAAAATGCTAAATTAGTAATTTCCGTGTCGATGGCTCAGGCACATGCGGCTGCGGCTGCAGCTGATGGGGGGGGGGGGGGCAGCATATTGCGC